AAAAATCATCCCCCTCCTTTAAAAAAAAAACAACACTATTTATGTTAATCTTATTTTCCTAAAATAGAAAACTATCCAACCACATCATGTATCCATGACACAACAGTTTCACATGCAAGTCTCAAAGTCTAAGTTTCATTTGGGACTTATAAGAACAATTAATCCAAGTTCACCATCTTGGTTATCCTTCCTACTAAAACTTCTTTGATTCCCTTCTCCTTAAGTCTCCAAAATCCCTTTTATTTCATACTTTTTAAAATCTTATTTCACTGTGACTCATAGTCACATTAAAAATCAAAATAAAACAAAAACCTTGATGTATTCCTTCAAATATTTTCTAGCTGAGGACCCTTATCTGCACCGTCCATTAAGGCACCAGCAGCTACCTGACGCTCCATGCACTTTCCACATGATGAGTGTGAACTGGAATGTGCCGTGTCAAACTCATGGATTTTTTAAAAACATTTCTGAAAAAAGTAAACCATCTTAATACTTTCTAATATTGATTAGATGTTGAAATGATACTATTTGGGATATATTAGGTTAAATAAAATATTCAAATTAATTTTGCTTTTTACTTTTTAAAATATGGCCACTAGAAAATTTTTAATTACATATGTAATTTTACACATTTGCTATTATCAGAAGTGGGCTGCTTCTTTTCACTGACATATCTGTATTCCTAGCTAGCTTTCTAAGTCAGAAAATACAGACTGACGTCAACTCTTCTCACTGATGAGAGCACTAGACTTTAAAAAAGAAATCTTTCAAGTGCTATGGTCTGAATGTTTGTGGCCCCCCAAATTCATATGTTAAAACTTAAATCCAAATCTAATAGTGTTAAGAAGTGGGGCTTCAGAGAGGGTGATTAGGTTATGAGGACACCACCTTCAGAGAGGACTAGTGCCACTATAAAGAGACCCAAAGTAGTTTATTAGCCCCATTTGCTCTTCTGCCATGTGAGGACACCTCTAGAAGGCACTGTCTATGAGGAATAGGCCCTCAGCAAATATTAGATCTGCTGGGGCCTTTAACTTGGGGACCTTCCATCTTCTAGAACTATAAGAAGGAGATGTCTGTTGATTATAGCAGGCCAAATGGCCAAGGACAACAAGCAATTCTACAGTGAACAGACTTTTACAAAAATCTCTTGGGGCAGTCACACTTTAATGCCAACACCAATTTGCTTCCTGTCCTCCAGGGACCCAGCTTAGAAACCGGGTGCTTCTGGTTCTCCACATCTCTGCCTTCTCTGCGTCCCCAGATCTCTGCATGCTCCTTTACCCCACCACCCCCTCCAGGAAACCAGCAATGAGTCTCCCTATAGAGGCCAAATCTCATAATTTTCCTGTGGTGTTGTTTGTCAGAATTCATCTCTCTTTAGATCTTCAACTCTGTAAACCAGATGACCAAACATAATTTCTATATTAACCTTCTACAGTAAAGCTAATTTGACTATTGTCTTCCTCCAAAAAAGGAAGCTGGTTTGCATTAATTTAAAACCTGGGTGAATAATAAATGTTGTTTTTTCCCTGCCCTTAGGAGAACAGACATAATATGAAAATTAATTTTCTCCTGTTGGCCTTAGGAGCCCATTATGTCAGCCCCACTGCAAGACAGCTTTTCAGAGTCTTTCCCAGGAAGACTGCTGTTGCTCCAAAAGAAAATTGACAGCAGATTTATTTATGATTAAATACTTAAAGGCCTGATGTAAACACAAAGAGTAACAACAGAATATAGAGGAACGAAGACTGTAAAAGAGCTCATGTTAAAATACTTGTTTATGAAACTACCTGAAAAGCTGAAAGACTTCGGGAAAAAACCACTATCACCAAAACTGGGGAGTCAGGAGAAGCATGAGGAGGAGGAGGAGGAAGAGGAAGCACCATGTGCAGAGAGGATGACTGCTCTTTTCAGACTAATCTGGGCCTGGAAAGCAATATTCAGGAACAAGAAAGCATTCGTCTGGCATTGAATCTGCTCTCCCAAGGCGTGGGTTCTATGCATTACTAATAAGGAAGCCATCACACACAGAAATATTTGGGAAAGTAGAAGATGTGTTTTCCACTTGTAATTCAGAATATTTTGTCCATGGTAGGGCTCTGCACCCACAGTAGCTAAACTTAGTGATCATAATTGAATCATTTAAGATAGTCTATCATGACTAGAACTAAAAAATACCCAAACCCCGCCTGCCTTATAAAGCAGTGGGTTCCCTGACCTTGGGGTACACACAAGCTGCATGATCAGCTACAAGGGTTGTTGTAAAAGATTCCTGTATTACCCTGGAGGCCTGCTTTTCAGAGTTATGTCCCTGGGCCAGCAGTACTGGCATTACTGGTGAGCTTGTTAGAAACTGAAGTACCCTAAAAATACCCTGACCTTGTGATAAGAATCATGGGTGGGTGGGGGGAGTGAGGCCCAGGAAGCTGTTTTAAGAAACCCTCCTCCCAAGTATGTTATGTTTGAGAACCATACATCAGACTGAAGAGCTTGGGTTCTCAAACACAGATCCCCTGAACCCTGCCCCAGAGTTCAATCTCCAGTACAAAAAAAAAAAAAAAAAAAATTCAATTTATTTGATCCAGTAATCACCACCACTTCTATATTTATCTTACAGAAAAAAAAATTTACCTCTCCACACATAGATTAATGCACATGGATTCACTGTCTTTAGGAAGAGTAAAAAACTGGAAATGAACATGTCCAAATTATAAAGAATTGTTTAAGTGATTGTAACAATCTCTATGAAAGAATGTCATACAGCAATTTAAAGCAGTTTTCTTAAAAAACGTTTAAGGATGTGAAAAAATCCTTACAATATATTAAGTGAAAAAGCAGAATGTTAATATAAATATCTGTGTTCATATGGAAGAAAAGGTCCAGATGATACCTAGTAGGATTACGGGTCAATAAAAAGTTAATTGTCCATTTCATATCTTTCTTGATTTTTTTAAACTTCCTCTCATAAACACAAATTATTTTTATAATAAAATGATAATCTTATTATCTTGAGGCTCATAAGATAACACTCTAGAGGCCAGGACGTTATTGAATCTTTTAGGCCTAAGGCCATGAACATAAAAGAGAAGCTGGTACAAGTGGGATTTCAGAGGAAGAGACAAATTTGCTCAATTGGCATTTTTCACTATGAAGAACATTAGTCCTAGTTGATTACTTATGTGGAGAATTGAACAAAATTAAAAATTCACTTCCTTAGTTGAACTGGCCACATTATAAGTACTTTATAGTCACAGGTGCTAAGGCATCCCCTCTGGGATGAGGCAGGTTATGGAATATTTCCTTCACTACAGAAAGTTTCACAGGACAGCACTGCCCTAAACATGCAGTCTCAGGACTTTTTTTGTCCTTTGTGCTCCAGCCACAAGTGTGAGCTGGAGCCTCTTGAGGACAGAGACCATCTCTGTGTGGCTCTCCCAATCCAGTGGGGGAGATCCCTATACACAACCAACCTGGGAGTGCAGACAGGCAGGAAGGCACTTGGTGGACACAGCACAGAGCTGGGTCAGGGGTTCAGGGAAGACAGGAGGAGTAGGTGCTATCCAAATAGGGAAGGATACTTGTGCATGCAGGGCGAGGAGCATGAAAGTAATAAAGGTACTGATGACAAACAGCCAGCACAGGGGGAAACCCCTAGCCCAACAGCATTTGTTCATTCCTCACACAGTAAAGGCCGCAGTGGGCCAGGACTGAGCAGAGACCAGGACAGCTATGGTCCCTGCCCTCACCACGCTTACAGTCTCATCAGAACTGTGGGTGCACTGCGGGTAGGTGAGGTATGCCAAAGACTGAGGATGGAGAATTTCCCAATCAAGGCCCTTCAACCTATATTAAGGATCCTGTTTGGTTTGCTCTGTATCCTAGCAAGAGAACCCTGTTTTCTGCCTCAGTGGGGGCAGGAGGGCCCCATCCTTGGGCTTCTCTTGGTCCCCACCTGTTAGTCCCCACCCATGCCAGGGCTATGGAGAGCTCCTCTGAACGGCAGGCAGCACAGGGCAGGAGACTCAGTCTTAGGAAATCTCTCCAGAGGCTAGGTGGGCTGTGAGTTTAAGAAGTGTGAGAATAATGACAGAAATCTGGTTGGGGGGACACCGGAGTCCTCCAGGAGGAGATCGATTCTGAAAAAATACAGGAGACCTGAGTGACCTGGAAGCAGGAGAACCCACTCCAATTTACAGAAATGCTAGAGACAGGAGTCTAGCAAGGTGGAGGGAGGGGCACCAGCCGCTGCGGGGAGGGTGTGTCCGGAGGCCCTGTCGCACGCAGGGCGGCCCTGGCCTCTTGGGAGAGCACCCCTGGTAAGGCGGATGGAGGCCTGGAGGGGCGCAGGCGACCCGAGTAGAGGAAGGACTCGGGGGGGGGGGAGGGGGGGCAGAGATAGGCGGGGCCGGCAGCAGCAGGTGTGCAGGCACCTGGGGCGCGAGGATGGGTGGCAGAGGGCGAGCCATTCCAAGAGAAGGAACCCCTTCCTTTAGACTTAGGGGCTCTTTCCCGACCACGTCCTTGAGCATCTAGAAGCGGCAGGGCACGTTCTCCCCGGCCTGAGACCCGTGAGGGCCGCGGTGTGCCGGCCTGCCACAGGGCGGAGGCTTCGGGGCGCAGGAGGCGGCTGCTCCCCGGACACTGGCCCCGGCCCTCCCGCCAGGTGACCCCCTCAGGCACCCCGGCCTTTCCTCCCGGAACCACACCGACCCCCTCCCACAACGCGGTCCCTCCAGGCTCGGTCCCCTCTCATCGCTACCCTTCACGTGGCTGGCTTCCCGCTCCTGCCCCTCCCGGACGCCCCCCTCCCAGGCCATGGTACCTGGGGCTCTCGAAGCTGCACCCCCTGCGCCGCAGCGCCGCCCTCTTCTGCCGCAGGAGCGCAGCGGCTGCCCCGCCGGGCTCCGGCTCCATCGCCCCGGGCGGGGGCCGCAGGCTCGGGCGCACTCGGGTGGGCTCGGGCCTCGGCCGGACGCTCGGCTAGCGCGCCGCAGCCCATGCCCCGCCCCGCATCCCTCAGCGAGGCCCAGGCCCCGCCCCGAACCCCAGCCAGTCAGCCCCGGCACCCCTCTACCGGGCCCAGGCTCCGCCCCGAACCCCAGTCAGCTCCCAAGCTCCTTTGTCGGACCCCAGCTCAGCCCGGAATCCAAGCCCAGCTGGCCCCAGGCTCCACCCCTGGCCCACCCAAGCCCCGCCCCACACCAAACCCAGTCAGCCTTCAGTCCCCCCCAAGCCAGGCCCAGGCCCGCCCTGGCCTCGCCCGGAGTCAGCCCAGCAGGATGCAAGCCCCAAGCCTGGCTCAAGCTCCGCCCCTCCCACGCCCAGACCCCGCCTCATACCCAGCCCAACCGGCCCCTCAGCAGGGCCCAGGCCACGCCCCCTCCCCGCTCCGAACTTCTGCGTAGTCGGCCCCGGGCTTTTGCGGTCCATCACAGGTCCCGCCCGGGCTCCGCCCCAAGCTCCAGTCACGCCCCTCCCGCTCAAGCCACGCCGCGGGCCTCAAGGCAGCCTTTCGCTTGCACCTCTGTGGAGATTACAGTCCCGAAACGCCTTCCCTTCCTCACCCTGTCCCACCCACCGCGCTGGCCCTCCTGCTCCTTGCCCTTCAGCACTGACTCAGCCCTGCCCACCTACCCCTCAGCTACTGAGCGCTCGCGCGGTGGCGCGGCCCAGGCCCTCACACCGCAGCTCTGCTCCCTCAGCGTAGCCGCCCGGCCCCTCTTCGCCTCAGCGTCTCCTGGCCCTTTCCGTCGTAGCACCGCCCCCTTTCGGGGCCGCCCTTCCCCGTGTCCCGCCCACAGGCATGACCGCACTGCTGGAGCCCCGCCCCTCCCCTGCCCAGTTCCTCCAGTCCCACGGACCCGACCCGGGCCTGCCCGGCTCCTTCCACGCCGCCTCTCACCTCTGGAAGCACCTGCCTGCGCGGGACCGCCCTTCTGGCTAAACCGGCGTTCCTCCGTGAAGCATGCGCTAGCTGCGGATCGACTAGCGAAGGTGGCGTCTCTCCTGGGGGCTGTTTGTGGCGCCTGACTCAGGCTGAGGGGCAGGAGCTTTGCAGGCTAGCCATCGTGGGCTCAAGTTTTGATTTCAAAACTTTCCAACTTTGTGATAACTGTGCTCACTTCCTCCCAAAATTAGATGCATCGTTTCAGAGCCCTTGAACGCTGGCTGAGAACGGGGACCCGTATGGGTAAAACTGGGAATACTGGGTCATCTCGATCAATGGAGGAAATAAGACTATGGCTACTTCAGCAAGCTAAGCCTCGTCGCAGTTACGGAGGTGTGATCATGCTGGCCTGAACTAGCCTGGTAGAACAGAGGCCGAGGACCTTTGCTTAGAGAACTGCAGCGTTGGTAGGCACTGACCAGGCAGGCAGAGCCAGGGGATCCCATAATCAGCGTGGATCGTGGCATTCCCTGGAGCACTCTCTCAATGACTTTCAGTCGCTTTTCCTCCGGCCTGGCCTCCCTTGATGCTGCACATTCAAGCAGAGAAGCCATTCTGGAAGGAGAAGGAAGGAGATGCCTGGAGAGAAGACTTGGGGAGCTCCCATGAGAGAGGGAGAGAGATAGCAAGAACTTTCCATTTCTCCTTCCAGCCCCTCTTGAGATTCCCTTGGTCCTTGCCCCAGGGTTCCACAAGACAGCCCTTTAAAACTGTCCTTTTTCTTTTAAGCAAGCGAGAGTGGATTTTGGTTTCGGTTTTGTTGTTGTTTACTTTTGCCTAGGATCATGAACTTCTAAAATATCTTTTCGGACTTAGACCGCATAGCTCCCCTAATTCTTTACACAGTGAGACCTGGGCGCTTCCCCTCTCCCTTCACCCTGCTTCTCATTTCTTAGCCCTGGCCTCCAAGTTTTCTGTGGTCTCTGAACTGAATTTTCAAATGCCCTTTGCCCTCTAAGGTGTCTCCAGCTCTCTTGCCTTCCTCTCCTGAGTGCCCCCACAGCACTGCCCCTGTCCCTTTCTGAGAGTACTGCTCCTATATGCTATTTATGTTCTAGTTACTCTTAGCTGAGCTCTGAGTGCCCCATACCTCCTCCATGTTCTACCTGGCACAGTAACTGCCATGTGAATGAATGCATGTGATTTTAATAAATTGAACAATATTCATTGGAAAACACATTTAATTTCAAAGTAAACAAAGATGTCTGTACATTAAAGTATTTAATTAGTGAAACAATTATTATCAATGTAACAAGCTGAAAAATACAGCAACTTGATACAAGACTGAGGTAACAAAATACTTCACCAAAAATCTAAAGAATCCCATGGAGGGCTGATGTTCAGTGGTTATTGCAGATGAGACAATTCACAAGTATTAGAGAAAGTCCTTACACAGCTGCATGCAGGGGTCTGCTGGAAAAAAAGACAGCCTGGGAGAATGCAACAGATTTAACAAGAAACGAACAAAAATGTAGAAACTGATTTCAACCCACTTAGAAGAATACATAAGAAATCGAAAACTACTTTCTACGCAACATTTTGAATGCTAAGTGGAAAACCATGCATTTTGGCACGAAATTTATTAAAGATTATACTATACTAATAAATCAATTTCTATTATTTCATTACTGAATGGTCACAGTCATTCAGAAATGGATAGACTCATGGTTACAAAATGAACCGATGGATCTTCTGCGCTGCTGTGAGGGGATTTGGGGGCTGCCCGAGGGGTAAACACACTTGTGCAGCAGAGGGCTATGAGGTGGATCAATGTCCATGGACAAGTTCTCCACGGCCAAGGAAATGCAGCTCTTGCTCATACTGTACTTGAATTTAACACTAAAGTTAAAGACAAAAGCCCATCACATAAACTCGGTGGAGGTTCCGACCTTACTCTCTCATTCTACCTTTGGAGTCCTCTATATGCTCAGCCACAGCTCTGTGCCTAACTGTTCTGAGCTATGTGGCCTCTAGTGCACACTCCAGCTAGTCCTCATTGTGACAGAACTCAGAGTAAGACTGGTCAGTCTGTGGGGACTTTTGAAGTGTTTCTGGAAGAATCTGTGCATGAAGATTGTACCCAGGGCTGGGGAGAGGTGGGTTCTTGCCCAAGGAGGTGCATGAGGTGGGGATCATTTGTTCATTGAGTGGTCAACCCTAGGAGAGCAGATCCAATCTGTCTCGTTTTCAGCCATTTATACCCTGGATAGAACCTCGTGCATGGGAGACACTCACTAGAGATATGAATGAATGAATGAATGAATGGGGGTTTTATGCAGAGAAACTGTATTTCAAAGGGACTCTTACAGTTTCTTTTTGTTTTTAAAACATGAAATCACCCAATATTTCAATAATGACATAGGGTTGATTACAGTAATATACGGGGTCACAAAAAAGAAGTAAGATTGTGTTTTGGTGATGTTCACCTGTAACTGTGAGCATCAGCAATGTGGGTGTAGCACTCTGGACCCACCCAGGAATAAAGCAAGCTTGGCTTGCAAACGGTTCCCCATTTTCACAGACCATATTCTACCTGAAATATGGTGACCTTAAAGATACACCTTTCTGGGCTTGGGACGGGGAGCAAGGTAAAGGTAGAAACACTGGCTGTCTCGGTAAGGAAAAGAAATACTTTAGAAATCAGTTGGCAATCCTTGAGTTCCTCAAGGATTCCTTCAAGTATTCAGCTCCTCAGCGCCTCTGTCTGACAGGATACTGAACAGTAAGGGGAGGGAATGCTGCATTCACCCTGGGTATATTCAGAACAATGTTTCTACGGCTTTCCATCAAACCCTCCTCCACAAAGCATTCCAGTTGCCAGAATGCACTCAGCTGACCTTGAGTTTTACATACAGAACGTGTTCAACTGAGGGTTAGAAAGTATGTGGGGTGAGCTGCATGGATTGTTCTTAGGACATCACAATGCTACCAGCTACCTACTCCAGTTTGTAGACAGCATTCTACACCTTTCATTTTGGCCACGATTTGTTTGCCTAAAAAAAAAATTACAGTATATGCATGCAAGACATAAGACCTTCAATGGGTTCACAAGTATTTGTGCACAATGGACAGCAAAAAACCAGAAACACTTCCCTCTAGGGCGAGAATCCACCCAAGGACCTCCCCCACTCTGTGGTTTGTGCCCGGTTTGTGGGACAAGCTAGCACTGGGAAGACAATCAGCACTGAACTCACATACTTGGCCTGAGTCCCTGCTTGGAGAATTGAGTATCTTTCAACTACATCTCCAGGACTCTTCTGATGTGTTCAGGGCTCTTACCAGTCCTACCAGGCTTTTGCCAATAAGACTGGCTTTTGCCAGTCAGTCCAAACTGATTCTTCAAGAGTCCAAGGAAAGAAATGTTTCTGAGAGGTGATGTGGGATCAGTCTCAACTAGTGAACAGATTAAGTGCTTTGAAAAGAATTGTGATTGTGCTCTTTCAAATTAGGCTCAGAAGCAAACATCTGTGAAGGAGAAGAAGCATCTGTAAAGGACAGAAAACTATTTGATTTAGTTGAGCCTGAAATTCTGGGAGTTTGGCATCTGTTGTATTTCATATGTGAAAAGCCAGCGTAGTGTGAAGAGTGGAGAAACAAGGAAAATAAGTAGCCAGTGTTCCAGTCTTGCACTTCTATCCAAGCTGAAGACTTTTTAGAAGTTAACAGGTGAGATCAGATTGGATGTAGGTCAAAGCATGACCATTGCATGGTTCTGGTTGGAAGTGACTGCAGTGTCTGGCCTTGTTACTCAGCCTTCAGATACCAACTTGAAGAGTCTAGGTGCACACACTCAGACCTGGGGTACGGGCGGACATGCAAGGCTGTGGCTGAGATTTGATGGCATCAACATTACCATTGGGAGTTTCTTTTGGCATGAAAGTATCCAGTCTCTGCTCCAAAGGAAGGTGAGTTTCTGAGCACAGTCAGGCTCCAGCACAAAGTATCACCCTGATGACAACACTCCCTCAGCAACACATTCAGATTTTCAGAGTCATCACCATTTGATCAAAGTACTGTGGTGGGTTTGTAGGTGGATCTTATCATGGTGACCTATTACAGTGTACTGATTAAGGTGTTGTGAAGCTTCTTGCCAGGAAACTCTTCAGGGCAGTTTGATGCCTTGTTGGTGTGAGTTCTGATACCATGATAGCAATGGACCCAGAAATTCAGTCTCTTTCAGAAAATCATTTAAGGGTTTCCCTCTCAGGATACAGATATTCAAGTTAAAGAAGAGAAAGGGAGACAGAGACAGGCTATGATGATAAAGCACAATTAATGTTGAATAAAAATATATTTGTGCAAAATAAAAATCACTTTAAATTATGACAGAGTGTGACAGATCAAGGCTGTTGTTCATGGAAAGCACTCTTAGCCAAATGCAGAGGCTGGACCATTTGCTCCCCAGAGCTCTCAGATGGTCATCCACAATTGTGCCCTTGGACTTGGATGATGGAGAACTTGCTGGTGACTGCATTTGGGGGCAAGACTGGGGGAGCTTAAGGCCTCAGTGTCACTCAGCTCCCTGCATGATCAGGAATCCTGGTGGGTCTGCCCTGGCAGTGGAGGCCAAGGGGTGCGATGGCAATGGCATCGAGCACAGCCTGCCCTGTGGGGGAGGTTGGCGTGAAGGGGCCTCTGGGCAGCTGATCACTGTGAGCACGGCGGCCTCCGAGCTGCTTCTGAGGACACCAGGAGAACATGCCACAACTTCCCATGCAGGCACGGCGGGAGCGGGGGAGATGAAAGGGCCCCAGGCCCTGCCAGGAGAGGGCATGAAAGGAAGCAAGCAGGCCAGTGGCCCAGTCCACCGTCCTGAGCCAGTTCCTGCTCGGAAGGGCTGACAGCAACAAGGCCTGGCAGAGCCCCAGGGCCCAGGAAGCAGGCCTTCCAGATGAATAGCACCCATAGGAACAGAAAGCAAGACACGGTTTAAGGCATTGTTTGTTTACAGTGAAAGAATGTGAGGGAGCCTTAACACTGGCGCTCCCACCCGACCTTTCTCGGTGGACAAGGCTATGACTGAAGGTGAAAGCAGGCCCTCAAAGCGAATGAAGTGTGTGATGTCACAAGTCCTGTGCCAAAATGCATGTTTCTTGAAGAGTTCACACTCACTCCCACACACACATGGACGGCACACATACGCAGAGGACGCTTCGGGGATTGTACAAAATCTGAGGCAGCCCTGGGGGGTGAGCAGCCCCGTGCACTTGGGGTGTAACGAGCCTGTCCCGCAGCCTGTCCTGCTCTCTGGCCCTTTCGCAGGTTAATGCTGTCCACTGTGTCAGCAGAAAGCAGGAGAACCCAACGTGGGCCAAATGCACTCTGTTGCAGAAGCAGCTGGTGGACAACAAAGGCCCAGAAAGGGGACTTGGGGTGTGCAGTCTGGGGTCCAACAACCGCCCTGTGAGGTGGTGCTGCGGGATGAGAGTCATGAGAGTCGCTGGGGATTGACAGGTGGATCCAGCACTTGGGGAGCCCTCTGCGACTGTGAGGCTGAAGGCTGTGTGCATCCCCTGAGTCTGGCTGTGAGGCTCCCAGCGCTCTGGCTCACAGCCTGTGCCCAGGGTTGCTCTTGTCCACCGGGCCCAGTCTGGGCTCCCAGAAGCCTTTGTAGTCACGCCAAGTCCTGCAGAGACTTATTCAAATGACATAAGGTTTGCAGGTACCTAGAAGAGAAAGCTCAGCTTCTTGTCAAAGTTTTAACACTTCAAAGAGACAAGGGTGGTCTCTAGGGGAAGTCTGTTAATGCACAGGTCAGGTGGGTGGGGGCATGGCAATAATAACAGCTGCTACGTGTCACAATCCCATGTGCTGGGCACTGCTCTGAATGCTTCCTATGCATCATGTGCTCAAGTCCTTATAGCAATCCTATTAGGTGGGTGCCAGAAACACCCCCATAATGAAGATAAGAAACTTAGGCTTAGAGGGTTTAAGTCCACAGCAAGTAAGAAGCAGGGCTCAGACCCTAAGCCCATGCTCTCAGCCATTATCCTATGTTCAAAATAAAACTGTGTTTAGGGTGAGGAAGCCAAACCCTGAAGGAACAGAGTGTATGCCTTTGGAGGGGACAAGCAGCAGAGGGTGGGTCATTAGGGGATGGCAAGTAGAAGCACAGGAGACTGACAAAGCGTGCGGATACTGAGAACCCAATACCTCTCCATAGCTATATCCAGGACAAGATCTTAGCTCCCTTTACTGGGAGGACCACTGACCTCAAGGTCAGAATGTTGCCACTGTCCCCAAAGCTGTCTCCAGATCCCCAGACTTGGACTTTCTTCTCTGGCATTGTTTTGGGTTCCAAGAGATTTTATTAAAAGCATATATATAGCAGTAGCCCACACCTGTAGTCCCAGCAACACTGGAGGCTGAGGCAGGAGGATCCCAAAGTTGAGATCAGCCTCAGCAGCTTAGTGCAGCCCTACGCAATTTAGTGAGTACCTGTCTTAAAATTTTAAAAAATAAAGGACTGGGGATGTGGCTCAGGGGTAGAGAATCCTTGGGTTCAATTCCCAGTACCAATTAATAAACAAACAAAATAAGCACATGTCAGTAACAATTGGTCAAAATGATGAATTAGAAAAAAAAAAAAAGCACTCCCATATACCAGGAGACAGTTACAAAAATGTTTGCAGCAGCATTCTCATAGGAACAAAAGGCTGGAAGTCATTTCTGTGATGACTGACAGCAGAACTGATAGAAAAATCAGCACAAATAAATGAATGACAGCTACACACGTCAACACTGATGAATCTTACGAACGTGTAGTAGAAGAACAAGTCACAGAAGGAAATGTATAGCTCTGGTTCTAATCACAAAGATGCTTTACAAATGTACCCAGACAATACAAGAAAAAAATCAAATGCGTGTTCTAAAATTATGAAGGAGTGCTGGAGGTGTAGCTCAGTGGTAGAGCACTTGCCTAGCATGCATGCACGCCCTGGCTTGCTCTCTCTACCACAGTAAATGAAAATAAAGTAATAAAAGTAAGTAACACACACACAGCAGGAGCATGGCTATGGGGTGAGGGTGAAGAGAGAGAATCAGGAAGAGGCACTTGTGGGAGGGAGGGCTCCTAGGCCTGAGGGCTCTGCATTTTGGCTGGGAGGTGGATATGTGGGTGTTCATTCTGCTGTTGTTTGTATCTTACACATATGTTATAAATAAGGTTTAAGTGGATTCAGTGTCAGTAAAACAATTTTGAGAAGTGCAAAATAGAAACACAGTCTAGTGGCTGAGATTCCACGTGGACAGCTGCATCTCTGTGCAGCCCTTTCACACCTTCCCTCCCTTCCTTTGCAGGGACACACCATGACTCATTTAAATAATCCCCTTATGTTGAGTATTTAGGTTGTTGCTAACCTCTTATTATTCCATACAGTACTATGGAACTACTTGATGGGAAGTAAATTAGAAATAAAAAGGAAACAAAATAGGGGAAAAAAAAAAAAGGTCTGAATATTGGACAAAAGTACTTCAAAGTGGCAGAAGCTTGCCACAGTGCACTGTTTGCCAGCATGAGCAATCTCACCAAACGCTCACTCTGCCCCATGTTTTTTTCCTAAACCCCCACTGCCTGCTGAGCAGCTGCTGCCACCTGCTGACTGCTCCCTACAGAGGGACAATGGGTCCTTGCCCAGGGCTCTCTTTGCTGTGCCTCCATGAGACCAGGGCCCTGCCTCTTCCCCCACACCCTCCTAGGCAGCCCACTGCAGGGCTGTCAGTTCCTGTTGGACCTGGAGCCACCTGGCCTCTGTGCACAAATCACAGGGCCACCTGTGTGTGGTAGGTGAGCATCAGTGTGCTGCATGTTCTTAGTGGTGCTGAGACACCTGGGATAACCTGTGTGGAGGAGGTCAAGGTGGCTCCAGGTCCAGCTCTTCCTTTCTTTATGCAGCTTGAGATGGCAGCCCCTTCGTTTTAACCTTGTCAGCTTATCCCCTTTGAATTGCCTTGAAACTACTGTCGACCCAAACCACTGGTCTTCCTGTTGTGTAGATGGGCAATCATGTTAATTGAATGTACTAAATATATACAAACTGGGCTGGGGATGTAGCCCAGTGGTAGAGTACTCGCCTAGCATGTCCAAGTCCCTGGGTTCAAACCCAGTATTGGGAGGGGGAGAAGTAAACACTCTAGAAACTTCAGAATGCTAGTCTCTTCTATATCAATGTAGAAATTCTACATGCACATACAAACATACATACAGTTGTGTTTGTTTTTTTTTTTTTCTTTCTTTCTGGGCTGGGGATTAAACCTAGGGCCTTGTGCCAGCTAGGCAAGTGCTCTACCCACAGCCCTCTCCCCCTACAGGGTGACCATGAACTTGTGATTCGCCTGCCTTAGCCTCCTGCGTAGCTTGGATGCATACATACTTTGGTACAAATAAGACTAAGCCTTCCAATGCTCCTGCCCTTTCCTATATTGCTTATACCTAGAGCCTCTTTCGGGGATGGCACATGGCTCGCTATCCAGGGTTGTGCAATAGGGATCTGCTGTGGGTCACGGAGGGTTCCAGGTGTTTTGTTTGTTGTTATTGTTGTTTTTATAAAGAATAATGCTACAGTGAACATTCTTTAATATGTATCTTTAAGGAAATGGGCGATCATGTCCCTAGCAGTCCCATAGGTGAGTCAAGGGACTCCAGTGCAGTTTTTTGGGGGCCTCTGTGCTGCCTCAAGCTTATCCTCCAGTTAGTCTTGTCCTGTTGCTTCCATTTATTGAGGACATTCCACTAGTTCTGCTTTCCAGTCTCTTTACACAGACAATCTCAATCAGCTTCTCTTGTGTGTCCTCATCTACATTACAGATGAAATTCCTCAGTGGGACCAAGCTGAGGGCAGAGTCCAAGGACTTGCCCCTAGAGACCTCCATCTGTTTATAAGAGATACTCTGAAGAGCTGAGAAGTCTGTGGCAGTGCTGTGTCCCTATCCCCCCCAGACCCAAGTGTCTGGTGTGAGCTTGCCTTTGCTGAGGACCCCTCAGACCTGCAGGGCTGCTGCCAGCTTCTCATCTGCTTCCAGCCACCAGCAGCTTTCCTCCTGGAGGCTACCACTAGCTATTCTACACCCTATGCTCTCTCCATCTGGTGTGGAGGCTGGAGGCAGCCACTTTTGACCCAGGCCCGACTGGCTGGCTGGCTGCGCCCCCAGGCCCCTTAGGCAGTTGCAGGTATGCCCAGGGAAGTGGAGGTGGGAAAGCCCAGGCCAACACGGTCAGAATCCAGAGGCATGCTCTGTGGGCCCCCAGCCCCATGGCTCACTAACTGTAGGCCCTTGAACAAGTGTCCACCCCTTCCTCTCTCCCTCCCTCCCTTCCTTCCTTTGGTCCCTTCTTTTTGGTTCTGGGGATAGAACCCAAGGGTGCTTTACCACTGAGCTACATCCTCAGTCCTTTTTTTTTTTTTAAGATTTATTTTTTAGTCTTAGGTGGACACAATATTTTAGTTTTATGTGGTGCTGAGGATCGAACCCAGTGCCTCGCACATGCTAGGCAAGCACTCTACCACTGAACCACAACCCAGGCCCTACATCCTCAGTCCTTTTATTTTTATTTTGAGACAGGGCCTTGCTAAGTTGCCTGGACTGGCCTTGAACTTGCAATTCTCCTGACTCAGCCTGAGTCACTAGGATCACAGGCCTGCACCACCCCAACCAGTGTGCCTGCTACTTTATAAGCATCGGGATCCTCAGTGTTAAATAGAGGCAGTAAGAGAAGCTACCTCTCAGGGACGTGGGAGGACCAGCCAACTCCTGCATGTGAAGCATCTGTATAACAGGTGGTGAGGAGAGGGGGCGGTAGTGGGGGCAGAGGGAGCCCACATCAATACAGTCCCCATTCATCAGCACCCTTGCCTGGCACATGGCTGGCCCTTAGCAACTTAGCCATTACTGTTATTCTCATCAGTCAGTTTTGAGTATTCCCAAAAAGTTTACTTTTGGGGGATGACCAAAGTAAAGTTCCTGATGATGCAGGAACTTGATTCTTTGACTGATATCATACCTGCCACCTCATCTTCCCCCAGTGGGTATTTCTGTGGTGTTTCCTTTAGTGGGAAAGACACAGGAACCAGATTTAATGTTCTGATCTGGACCTGGGCTTTGTTCTAAGCTAAGAAGGGGTGCCTTGCCCCAAGGGAAAATGCTGACCTAGGGAGGGTGCCCAGGAGCAGAGCTGATGGGCTCTGAGGGAAGAAGGGAGCCCCATTATCTAAAGGGCTGAGTGCCCAGGGTGGGAGGGTACTCAGGGGACTTTACCTGAGGCCTGTTGCTCTTACACGCGTCATCCAAATGCTTGTGCCACAGTATTGCGTGGAATCGGGAGCCTGTCTGAAACTTGTAAACATTGCCTGATGGGCAGAGAAAGCAGTGGTTGAGAAGAGGGACACATGGGATGGTTGCCTGTGACCATGTAAAGGAAAACAGGTGCCTGAGTGACTGAAGTAGGGGCGCCCTGGGTGAGCCGGAGCTGGCAGGGGAGGCAGCCTCCCATGTTCCTTTGGCCTGTGTTTTTGGAATAAGCTCTTGGCCATGTTTGGCTGTCTGGTGAAGCCTGTGTGCCCCTTCTCAGAATAATCATTTTAAATGTCCAAAGTATAATACCAAAAAAATCATTAGCAGTTATCAAACCAAACCCCCAAACAAGCTGAGTGACATCATCTATGCACTATACTATACTGATGCACTAATAATAGATCTAGTGGCAGGTCTGACACTGCTGTGTTTCAAAGATGAACAGAAGTGATATTTTGAGATATGTACAAATGAGACATGATATGAAAATATCCTCGATTCCTCTTAGAAAAAAACCACAGGGACTAGAGTTTTTGGAAGTTGCAGAATTCTTTTCTGAGTTGGCCTTGGACCTGGACAGCTGGAATCTTGTGGTTATAGTTAAGTCCGGAGTTCCTGAAATGCCCCAAACCCAAGACCTTCCCAGCTCCACAGCCCTGCCTCATCCTACATTGCTATTTATTCCAAGACACTGAGGCTCCAGCTCCAGGAGTGAGGGGCCTCAGTAGCCTGAGGCAAAATCACGAAACTGATTCCTGCAGCTACTGCTCAAAGGACACACCAGCTGTGGTCTAAGAAGTTTTGTGGACTAATGAGGGGACTTGTGGGTGACACCAAACCTCACACAAATAGAAACCGCAGCCTCAAAGGTCCTAATGTGCTGAGATGCATCTTTGGCAGAAGTGGAAATGGGGGAGGTGCGGTGCCGGTAGCCTGCTGCTTACCTTTGTCAGGGTTATTCAGCTGGAAGATGTCAGGGTGCTCGGGGTCATCGGGCAGTTGTACCATCCAGCCCACGATGGAGACCTTCTTGCCAGGTGTGGATTTATACTGAGGGGAGCAACAGAGAGCCGGGAGGCCTACCTGTGCCAGGCCAGCTTCCCTCCCACCCACCCCTGAAGCTCACAGAAGTGCCCTCCACTGGATGAAGTCCAGTGAAGTCCTGGTGTGGGTGTCCTCTCCACCTGACTTACGTGTTTTCTGTCTGTGCCCCGCAAGGACTTGGCTCCATAGTACAGGAGGGTGGATCCTGAGAGTATGACCCAGTATCTGGTCCATGAGGACAGCTACAGAGGAAGGGGAGGCAGAGAGATGACACACGGTGGGGACAGAGTGGCCTGGTCACCACATCAATGCCAGTACAGGTTTCTCTCTTCACTGCCCCCTGCCATACCCCTGGCAATGCCACCTCCACCCAGGAAAAGAGGAGGGGCCCCTCTCTCATTCCCTCATGTGGCCTTCCACCTTGTTGAGGGCAGGGTGGGAGGGAAGCTGAACTCAGGGCCTAATTCCTACATGTTCCATTGACCTGAACTCAGAGGGTCCTGGAAAAAAGCATGTTTAAAATACAGCCATGGGGCTGGGGTTGTGGCTCAGCGGTAGAGCGCTCGCCTCGCACATGCGAGACCCTGGGTTCGATCCTCAGCACCACATACAAAAATAAACAAGTGAAATAAAGGTGTTGTGTCCAACTACAACTAAAAAATAAACATTTAAAATAAAATAAAATACAGCCATGCCAAGCAGTGACCAGAAGAAGCATAACATCTGTAGTGAACGGCTTTGGAGGAGACTGATGCCTGGAAGCGGAAAACCTGCAGGGCCCTGGCGTGGGCCGGCTTCTGTCACCAGCTAGAGGTGTGGTTCCCTGCTCAGGGCACTCTGCTCCTTAGTTTAGGAAAAACCACTCCAGTGGGGGCTTTTGGTTCTGAAAAGGTAAAGCAAATCCCCCACCCTGGAAGGAAGAAGGAGCCAGCTGCTCTGCACCACCGTGCTCAGGCCCCTCCCTGCTGGGTGGCACTGCATCATCATCAAGGGAAAGCAGTGGCCCTCAGACTCTTCACTGACACCAGAGGGCCCGGCACACAGACAACACGCATGTAAAGAGTTCAAGAAACAGTGCTGATCTCCACTACATATGAGGAACTCTGAGATTTTTTTTTCTATTTTATTCTTTTCTACTCAAAAATCCTGGTCATGTCCCACTGAACTGATTCCATCATTCACTGAGGTGTCATCCAGCATTAGGGACAATGCTGCTTCAAGGACACTGTCTGGTTCCTGCCTGGTAATGACTGAGGCCTGCATTCTTGGTCAGGAGAGAAGTGGGCAGGTTTATACAACAGGACAGACTGAAGTCCCCATGCTGCAGGAGGTGTTGTGACACTGTAGGTCTAAATGATCAGTGTGGCCAGAGCTGGAGCAGAGACTCTCCTCCTCACAAGGCAACTGGCGACTCAAGGCAGGGGCTCCATGGGTACCTGGAGGTGGCAGGTGGGCCCAATAGCTTCACAGTGGATGGCAGTAGGAGGGGGCAAGTCCAGATGACCCTGGCAGTGGACAAGGCCAGAGCAGGACAGGAAGGGCAGAGCAGGTTCTGCCTGGACCTGCAGCTCCTGATGGGCTTGTCAGCAACTTGTCACACAAGGGGCTGATGTTCATGCCACCTGAGGTCATGGAGACCATGACCTCTGGGTCCAGCACAGGAGACGGTGGGGGCCAAAGGCCTCCTGATGCCCTGTGCTTTCCTCCATTAACTTAGGATGCTGCCAGGGAGGAAGGGACTCTGCATATGAGGATGCTACACAGCAGCTGATGTGCTCTGGGCCACTCAGCCTCCTGGGTCTCCAGGCTCCCACTTGCCCTCCAGCCCTTTACCACAGCCCCAGCTCACCCATGTGCTCTGCACACAGACGCTCTGCCACACATGGCCTCCAGGAAGCGGCACAATCTGGTCCAGGTTACAGATGTGGAAACTGAGACCCTTACCCACTTGGTGACCTGGCCAGAGCGGAAGCCTGATTGGCAGGTTCCTAGACTCAAACTGCTCACTGCTATCCACACTGCTGCCAGCAGATGTGCTCCTGACTTACTGCGGGCTTCCGTCCTTCTTTGAGCAGGGTCTTCCTCCTCAGGGGACCCTCCATGGTGGGCACAGCTGCTGAGCTCCCCAGGGTACAGGTACATGGGCTGGTAGGGCTGAGGGGAGACCACCATTCAGACTTGGCCCAAACAGATGAGGCCAGGCACCTTCACTCACGGGGGCCCCTTGGAGCCCAAGGGTGAGCCCATGATGTTCCCAAATGCTAGAGGGCTCACTAGTGCTAGGTCAAGCTGGGGAAGGGAAGGCACAGGGAGCAGAAGGGGCTCATGCAGGCTGCAGAGTTCGAGGCTTGGTCACCAGGTGTCGCATAACCCAGCCCCAGCAGCAGCCCACCCTATCCAGAGGACACCTCTGTCACGTCTTCCTCCTGGCTGCTCTGGGGCTCTCCTGCCCATGTGCTTCCTCTACCCAAGGAACGAGGGGCCTTGCAGCCCCAGCTCTGGAAGCCCCTCCTCTCTGTGCTTCAGGAGCACTGGAGGATATGGGAGTGGTGGGTTGCAATGGCAAGAAGGGAAGGGGTCTCCACATCCCAGGCCCCTGGCCCTTTTCTTCCAGGCTTGCTGTGGATCAGGCACCACACATGGGTGATGACATGGGAGGGCATGGTCAGCCCAGCCTTGTCCTGCACTCCAGATCTGCGTGCTTCTGCTCACTGGATATCCCAGGGGCACCTCGCTCTCCTGTGCTTTCCCCCAGCCTGCTTGCTGCTCCAGCCAGAAGCCTGGGGTGTGTCTCCTCTTGTGCTCTACAACCTAATCAATTCCAAGCATCTATTGATCCCAGGTCCTAAATAAGTCTCGCTGCCCCATCCCCCAGCCCTCCCCAGCTGCCCCTGCCTACCCCAGGCCACTGCATCTTCCTCTGGACCACTGCCCAGGGGCTTTCCCTGCTCTGCCTCCTCTCCACACCAGACCCCTCCTATATCTGACCCCTCCTGCATCCAATGCCTCCCGCCTCCTGCTGCTTTCAAGGGGTAGGTCACCACCTTTGCCCATGCTGGACGAAGCTCCTCCCACTCCCCAGCCTCACCTGTGCCCCCTTGTACAACACAGCCTTTCCTCCACTCAGGTCACCAGCCCTCCTGGTCTCACAGCCGCACCCCAGGCTCTCTCTGGCTGGGAGCACACTCATCACCTGTGTCCCCTTCCGTTATTTGACCAATTCCTATCATTTTTCCAATCCAGATCCCCACCCCTCTCCCCTGGAGCACCCAACACCTCCTCTGGGATCATCAGTGTGCCCGGTGGAGCACTGTGGAGGCATCTATCTCCTCGGTAGCCTCTGGCACAGAGGTTTGCACCCTAGCTATTTGTTGAGTAAATGAAAAAATGAATAAATGAATACCTGTACACGCAGCTCCGGGTTCTGGGAGAATTCCGAACTGGAACCCTCCAGTTGGGCCCCAGCGTGGCATAGAGACGTCCCCTGCTTCGGAGGAAAAGGGGTGAATTTTAGTGACGGCCTGGAAAGACTAGACTTATGAGTACCTCAGATTATGTGGGTCAGCCTCCTCCCCAGGCTCCTCACTCAGGCTGTAAGCATATCCCACCTGCCCACTCCAGGTCAGTGAACACTCACCCCTCAGGGCCTCCATCCAGGAAAGTCCCTAAGCCTCAGGTGATTATTTCATTAACTTTTTATTAATGTTCCCCTTTCCCAGTTACCCCAGTGTGAGGCTGTCATGTTTAATATAGGACGTTACGTGGCCCATGCATCCATGATAGGTCCACGTTCAAGTGCATGCCAGCACAGAACTGTGGGCAGCCTTGCATGTTGGGCCTGGGGCACATGCAGCATCCCCATTCTCCAGGACATAGCTGGATCCTGCTGTTTGCTAAGTCCTCTCCTCTGGATGGCCTCCTCTGCTGGTCTAGCCATCCCTGTCCCTGCAGACTGGTTGGGTGACCTGATCAGCATTCCAGAGCCTGTGAGCCAAGATCTCTCCAGGGCCTCTTGCTGGCATTTCCCTCACCCGTGAACCTTTCCAGGGGAGATGAGCAGCCTCGCCTTCCTCCTTCTGTATCCTTTTCTATTTTAGAGACTCATTCCCCAAATCCACTTGCTGTGCCAGCCTCCTCCTCTCCCCTGCAGGGTACTCCAGCCCTTTCTTTGCCCATGGGCCAGATGACAATGTAGCTTCCTGTATAAAGTCAGACAGGGTCCCTGCTTCTTTTGCAAATGTTCCCCGTCGTCCACGCCAGCCTAGGTACTGGCCCCATGACACTAGCACCTGCGGATTGTGTTGGACACCTTCTCTGCCTGCTGTGGGTACATAGTGCCATCACTGAGCCTACGGCCTCACCCTCTACCTGAGGACAAATAGTTTCTAATGGCCATCAGGTCCACTCTTCAGGGCCCAAGTTCTGGGCTGATAGAAGTCTGCTGGCTGTGTGGGATGGCTGCTCCCCACTTTGACCATCACCCCTCCTCTTCAGGCGATGACATGCCACAGCTTGTGCTTGGGCCTCCAGGTCTTCCATGCAATGGGTCTCTTGATGGTCCCAGGCTGACCCTGCCCTACCATGAGCTGTGGCACAAATGAGAGGCCTGGGATGCCCAACCCCAGCCCTCAGGCTGAACTGCACCTGTCTCTTCCCCTGGTGGAGGGTTGGAACGGTGTGTGCGTGAGATCCTGCAGAGGACCTGTGGCCAACTCTCGTCTGCTAACAGAGGAAGCGCAGACTCACAGCTGAGTGCAGCAGCTGCACAACAGGTCTCAAGCCTGTGCTGCTTAGGGACAGCAACAGGTGGGCCGCGGGGCCGCTCTCCTCCCCAACCATCACCCTGAATGTGTTTTGATTAGGGTATGACGACGGACATTCGTACAGTGTTGTCCTTTGTGGGTGTGTCAGCTGCCAGGGAAGTCTCTTCCTCAGATCTGGGCTCCCACTCAGAGCTGCAGCCTGTCTGGAGTCAGGGATGGCGCTGCCTTCCCAGAGCTGGTCCTTTGGCCCTTCTGTCTGCCCACCTCTCATGCTCTAGGACAGTGAATGACAAAAGGACTGTCCACAGCCACCAGCTGGTTCTCAGGGCAGACAGTGCTGCCACCTTCCTGCTGTCGTTCTTCCTGCTTCTGTGAGGCAGCCCGTGGCTGTGTCTTCCACCGATGGCCTTTGCTGATGGACAGGCTGAGATCGGCATCTTGCAGCCACCTGGCCCTATGAGCAGTCCTTCCTCAGGCCCTTGGGAGTGGGGAGTCCAGCATGCAGGGCATGGCAGGATAGGAGTCACCAGGGGGTGGTGCTATCCTGGGCCAGGTCTTCATGCTCACTCCTGGAAGCTTCGTTTAAGCACCATTATTCCCCCAATGAGGCTCAGCAATGTGAAGCTACCAGATGGTGGCACAAGCCTCATCAGCCAGGATATGAACCCAGATCTGCCAGAGCCATTCAGGTGTAGGGAGAGGCAGAGGGGCCATGGTAGAGCCTACGTGGGCCAGGTCCATGGCTAGTCAGTGTGAGGCCTTCTTGGCATTCTGTTCACGCGTACGTCACTGTGGTCTCCCTTGTGGCTTGCACTGTGATTGAGGTGTGTCAGCGTCTGTGAGGCTGTGTGGCCACCAAGTTCTTAGGCCTGAGGATCTCCTGGGCTGGGGCACCTGCCAGGGCCCCTGTCCCTGGGCTTCCAGGATGAGTATTCTCCTGGGGCTTTGGCTGCCAGCTGCTTACTTCTAATTAACGGCTTCCACCAGGAATCACCCGACCCTGCAGAGGGGCACAGTTCTCATGCCTGTTTTAGATGAGGACACTGAGGCTCAAGGAGAAGCCAGCCTTGTCCCACCCTGCTGGCCTGTTATCAGATGTGGAAAAATGAGTGCTCAGAGAAGGCCGTCTTGACATGTGGGCGAGGTCTGCCTGAGCCGGTCTCGCTGCTCCCGACTGTGGAAGCCACGTCCTGCTCTCCCTGGAGCTGGGGATGGCCACACCAGGTCTGGAAGGGCAGCAGGATGGTGACCTTTTTCCAGGGCCAGCTCTGAGGGATGGTGGCCAGCCTTCTGTCCCTGCAAGCTGTAGGAGGCAGCATTCCAGCTGGCCTGGTAGGCTGGCACCTCACAGCCAGGAGCCTTGGTCACAGGAGCCAGACGGCCTGACCCCCTCCCTGCTCTGAAAAGACTTGTTATGTGGGTGTTCAGGACAGAGCTGCAGGATGAGGGGGCAGTGGTATCTGGTAAACCACAGAAATCATGGGATTTCCCATGGGGGCTCCCACTCCAGAGCCAGAGGCACCTTTCCTACCATCATTCTTGGGACATGTGGCTCAACACAATGTGTCCTCAGAAGGCCAGTTGGACTGTCTGCTCTCCAGAACAGAGCTGAGGGTGAAGGGTACAAGCAGGCAACTGAGGGGGTGCATGGGAGGTTTTCTCTGGGGAAGATGCAGGCTGGAACCAGGGGAACTCCTTCGTCCCACAGGGCTGGAAAAATGACGATAATGTCATGCTGGTGATGATGGTGGTGGTGGTGGTGGCAGCAATGGAATGGTGGGTCCAGGCGACATGCTCAGCAGTATTCGTTCCTTATCCCACGATCCTACAACACTGTGAGGTGGGCACTGGGATCCCTGCCTCACAGATAAGGAATCTGAGGCTCTGAGAGGAGGAGCCACTTGCCCAAGGTCACAACACAAAGAAGAGGAAGCATGGGCAGGCTGTTGAGGTGGCAGCAGCTGGGGCACTCAGACTGGCTAAGGCATTGTTTTCTAAGTAATGATTAAGCTGTAGTTATCACGAGGGTTAAAGCTTGAGCCCTTGCTGCCAGTCTAGGGAGCAGAGGAGTCGAGAGGAGCCTTGGATCAAGCCACTGTGAGGCCTCAGGAATCTTGGTCTTAGCAGAGGTAGGCTCCCCACCCCGTCTCAAGTGCATGGAACCTGGGGAGGAGTGCACCAGAGTGGTGTACCCCCAGCAGGGCCCAGGTGCACTGCTCATCAACCATGTTGACCTCACAGGCAAACCCTAGACTGGAGGCCAGGCCCATCAGGCATGGCTCATCGGGGCCACTGTCTAATGGTCTCCCTCACTGATAGGCAGGAAGTGCTACCCTGAACTCTGCTGGGCCCTGGGACAGCCCTTTTTGCAGCACTCTTTGAAGGACACTTGCTCTCTGTGAGCCACCTGTCCTTCCTTCTCTGGGAGATGTCCCTATTCACTGGGTAGTTCCCTAGGAACCACACTGACTACATGTCTCCATTCCCTGGATAACTGAAAGGACAGAACAACAGGCAAATCCAAGCCAGATTTTTCTCTGCTGGCAGTTAGGAACTAGATCAGAGAGGCTGGGCATCAGGTTCAGTGGCTGGGTGAAGCTACCACACATAACCTGGGAGCTGTGAGCATCCATCCTCCCCTCTGGGCAGCGAGAAGTCCAGAAATCTGGTGTGCAGGGCCGGGGGGACTAGAGCAGACAGGCAGAGGGGAGGATAGACACAGGCAGGACAGTCCTGTTCACCTTCTAGGTACCAGCTATGCAGGGGTTGTGGTGCTAGACAGAGGAGCCATGGGCAGAGTTTTCTCAGTTTCTGTGAAGCAGCGGCTGGCCTGGCCCGGCCCAGCCTTGACTGCTCTAGCCAAGGACAGAGTCAAGTGTAAGCCTTTGGAACCAGGGGATCAGCAACTCCTGCCACTCCTCTCTCAGAGGAGCCTCACTTGCCAGGCTCTAGATTGGGAGCTAAAGGGGTGAAGCAAGAGATGGCACCTTTTGGGGGAAACCAGTCAAGAATTTGGCAAGTCACCCAACAGGGCTGCCACGCTAGGGGCTGGGCAGAGTAGCCTGATCCAAAGTCCAAGGATGAACCCAGGGAAACTGGACCTTGGGAAGGGCTAGCAGCAATGAGAGCTGGGATCCCAGGCCTTGGGCACAGGTATGGGGCAGAGGGCATGAGGTCATTGTGAGTCACCTGAGCATGGCCACTCACACAGCTACGTGGCAGCCGAGGGGACCCCTCATTCCAGATCTTGGCCTAATTATTCTGAAATACTGCAAAGTATGGATCTGCAGAGGCACCTGTGCCCTGGAAAAACCGGGGCATTGTCCAGAGTCCTCTGACCCCAAGAAAGGAAATGTATATTTTTAAAACTGTGTGGGGTCGCCAGGCATGGTGGTGCATGCCTGTAATCTCTGTGGCTCATGAGGCTGAGGCAGGAGGATCAAGAGTTCAAAGCCAGCCCCAGCAACATAGCAAGGCCCTAAGCAACTCAGTGAGATCTTGTCTCTAAATAAAATATAAAAAGGGCTGGGGATGTGGCTCAGTGGTTGAGTGCCCCTGGGTTCAAACCCTGATACCAAACCAAATCAATCCAAACAAAAAACTGTGGGGTAGCAGGTGTGGTGACCTGTTGCAGCCCTCCATGACTCCACTCTCCATGTGTCTCCCTAAGGGTGGCAGGCAATTCTGTGAGCTAAGCTCATCAGGAAACCTCACACAGAGCATCTCTCACCCTCCTTGCTACCCCTAGGGATGCCAGGGTCAACTGCCTGCAGCACCCTTTAGAGGGCCCTCCCCACGAGGCAGCACCACCCTGAAGACCAACAAGGGCTGGTGAAAACTTGACTTCATTCCAGTCTGCCCACCCACCTTGACTGAGATGCCACTGGGGGAGATTCTGCCCAGCCTTGGCCTGGGTGGCATGCTTGCTGGCAGAAGGCACCTATTTGGGGGAAGCTCTGGAAAGTCCCCTTTCATTTCTGCCACAGAGCACCCCACTGCGTGCCATGCTTACTCTGCAGTTCCCAGCGCACAGCCAAGGAACTGAGGCTTAGAGGCCAGGGGGTCCCCGGGAGATGGAGAGCATAAGTGGCCCTGACCTCAGGCCCTGTCTCTAAATAATATATAAAAATAAATATACATTAGGGACTCTAGAGAGCAAGACATGTCTCAGAACCCACCCGTCCTGCATGAGACCTCTAGTGGTCTCCTCAGAGCTCACAACCTCCTCAGGCCCCAGGACCCCCTTGAGGGCTCACCAAGGTCATCTTCACCAAACGCCCTTAGGCCTCTGTTAAGCCCATCACATCCTCCAGAAGTTACCCTAAACCTACAACCAGTGCAGGTCCCCCCCGGACACCGGCCCCACTGGATGGCCCCAGTGCTACAGTGGCCCCTGGCATATGGCTTCTTTAAGGCTCCATGAGCCCAGACTCCCTCCCTGCGTACCCCCACCCCTGCTGGGAGGGAAGAGGACCCTCTGCTTCAGAGAAGCTGAGTGCTGCCCACTCCTGCCCTCTTCCCTGTCCCCCTAGAGGGGCTTCCCCCTGGTAGCTGGGTCTCCGAGGGCACTTCTTCTCTCCTGGTTCTCCCTTTACCCTATCATGGCTCATCTCCCACATGAGAAGCCCCTGCACCCCCGTGGGTCTCAGGAAACGGTTGCCGAGGGCTTTGTGGTGAACTCAGGGACACACCTTCATATTTTGCTTCTTAAAACTGGTCAGAAATCATCTCTAATGATATCTTTAAAAAGCTAAGTACTAATTATTTTTCTGAGTAGAAAAGAAAGATTTGGCCATTGTGGAAAATCTGGAGAATATCAGCTGAGACAAGGGACAAAAGTCTCTCAATAACCTACAACCCAGAGACAATTAGGATGAATGAGATGGTGCATGTTTGCACACACCCACGTGTGTGCATGATTCATTTTGTTCCTTTTTAAAAACAAACCTCTTTTAGGATAAGCTGACCATGGGGACAATATTCTTGCTCTCACCTAGTGCCAACACCTCCCTCTCCAGTCAGACACACAGCGCCTGCCCCACTGCCCGCCTGACTGTTCGGCCCTTTCCCTTCTTCACTTCCCTGAGCCTGAAGGTGGCTGGAGCCCAGACCAGTGTGAGTCCCTGGCCCCCACTCTCCAGCTCATTAGGCCCAGGTTGAAAATGTCTTTCAAGGACACCTCCCCACTCCATGGGCTGCGGGGCTCTCATTCTACCTGTGGCCCCATGGGTCAGGGCCGACTGGTATAGTCACAGAGAAAAGCGGCCCACCCTTGCCCTGCTCCCTAGTGACAAAGACCATGGCTCAGGAACACGCCCTGGCAGTCCTTCTGGGCCCTGAGGATAGGGTCAGGCCTTTGGGGCAACCAGGGACTGAGGGATGACCAACTGACCCCTGGCCTACTGCTCCTCCCCAGCCCCACAGGCCCGTGACTTTGCTAGGGCTGACATGGATGAGGGGACACAGGGTGGGGAGCACAGAGGAGGGTGTCTTTTGCTCCCTGTCTCCTTACTCCACAGTCCCAGAAAGAGCAGGTACAGTGCCTCTACAGTGGTCCATGGCTCCCCAGGCACAGTGTGGGAGTTCTTGAAGCCAGACATTCCAGGAACACAGCGAAGTGTGGCCTGGCCTCTGACTGACACCGAGGACCACCTTTGAGCCCTTCACTGACAACATCCATGTGTGTAGACTTGAGGAAGGTAAATTCACAAGACCATGTCAAATGATTTCCCTTTTGGCAGACAATGGGAGTTCTCCTGCTCACCTGTTTGTGGTGGCATTAATGGTGATTTGGATGTACTTTTGAAGCTGTGTGTGGTAGGGGGTCTCTGGCTTGGGGCCTCTTTGCCTTTTACTTGGTACCTGGCTCCATTTCTCTCCCTAGTCCAGGCCAAGTCTATCACCAGGCCTGGGGTGCTGGGGGACTTGGGAGCTGGTCAACTGAATGTCATGGTTCCTGAATTTCAGAGCGACAGGTCAAAATGCTGCTCCCCTGCTCTAGCCAGACCCCTTCCTCTCTCTCACCTTGTTATTCTGAGTGGGCCAGAGTGGACACCTAGAGATCAACTCCTCTTTAAGAGGAGGAACTTGCGGTCTGGGGAAAACTGGGAATGGAGGGAGGACCCGCTAAGCACTGGCTACCTGAAGATAAGCAGTAAAGGGACCCAGGTGGTGACACACAACTGTGAGGGAACAGCAACACGGAACAAGGATGTTCAAGCTGTGAGAGGAAACTCTTCCCCTGGAGCTCAGGTGCTCTCAAGGAAGCAGGAGCAGAGGATGGTACAGGGTAGAAACAGGGACTGGTGGCCTGGCCACCAGGGCTGGAGAGTGGGAACAGCTGGCACCTGAATCATCAAGCTTGCATGAGGCTGGGACATCATAACTCCACTGGCATCTCCTGAAGCAAGTGGACTCCTGTTCCCCACAGCCAGGAGGGTTTGGCCAAGAGCTAGGTCACAAGACAATGAGAAACAGGTCACCCTCCCTGCAGGGCAGTTTGAGGGCCCTGGAGGCAGGGCTGGGTATCTGTGTGGATACACCAGCTGGGAGCCAGTGCTCAGAGGAGATACCACCCAAAATGCACCTGCTATGGACATTCGATGGATAGTGACTGAGACGCTGTAAGATGCTGCAGCCCATAGCGCTCACCCCCCGGCCAGGACCTGCACCTTCCTCCCTCCTAGCAGCTCTGTCTCTGCTCAACACCCCTCAGGGTGGCCCACCGTCAGCAACCAGTGAGGGTTCTGGCAGGGAGTCGTTGCCTAAACAGCTACTAAATGAATAAATGAGTGGATGGAGGAATGAGCCAGTGAAGGAATGAAGGAAGGAACTGGGAGGTTTCTGTGGTGCTATGCTGGACCTTGGCCCTGTGCCAGTTTCCTGTTTGCTGTCTTCCCATTGGCCTGTGTCTAGGGGAGAGGCTGGCTTGTGTGTCATCCTGTTTATCAGGGTGTCCCCAGGAGTTTCTGACTGAGTGACTGTTCTGGAATATGCCTCTTGGCCCCAGGCTCTCCTTTCCAGTGGCCAGGGTGGGTTGCCTGAGCTCCCCAAACTGGAACAGAACAAATGTCCCTCCAGGAGCCCTGTGGGGAAGGCAGAGAGAGAGCCTCTGAGTGTGCACGGCCTCCTCGCTCCCTCTCCCTGCCCCCATCTTGGGGCTCACAGACACACTGGGTGACATTGGGCCAGTCCCTATAGCTGTCACTGCCAGTCTTCAGGCTAGGTGGTGGGGCAATGAAGAGGGGGTCCTCGATAGCAGGAGGGTTTGGATTAGGGTCATCTCTGCCATTATCAGATGAGTGTGAAGCGAGCATGTCACCTCATCTCTCTGCATGCTCCATACAAAATGGGGACAGCACACATGCTGCTGTGGGGAACACTGAGGCTACGTGAGTCCACATACAGGTGGGGCCCAGAGGTGGCGGCACCTGGGGAGTGCCAAGCACAGCTCCTGACCATGACAGCCCCTCTGCCTGGAGGAACAGCTGGATGGGAGCGACCTTCCCTCTGATCTTCCTTTATGATCATGGGGGCTCAGGCAACAGAAGCTTCAGCATCAGAAGCGGCGTGTGTGTAAGTTGTGTGCACTCACATATGTGTGTGTGGTGCAGTTGCCCACATACACGTGGAAGTGTGTGAGTGTGCATGTGTTTGTGCATGCACACGTGAGTGCACATGGACAAGTGTCTGAGCTGTGAGGATGGGCAGGGTGTGCAGATGCGGGTGGGAGTGTGACTGTGTGTGCAGATGTGAGGACACCGGGGAGAACTCTGTGGCAAAGCCCCTGGATGCTGGTGGGGGACCCACCCTGAAGGACAGTGAAGGCCTACCTCTCTGGGACATTCTTCATCACTGGATTTCCTCCTGCTGTCCTCAGACCTTGTGTCACCAAGGTGACTTTCACCTTCAGCAGCACTGCAGACACCCATTAACAGCTTCCTAGTGGTCCCAGAGCCCTGCGCTGGCCCAGGAAGCCTGGGTGTGTGGATCATGTGGGTGATCTCCTGAGTGGGAGGCTGGACACCTCGGCAGACAGGCTCTGCACGGGAAGCCAAACCATGTGCCAAGGGAGCCAAGAGGGTGCGTGGCAGGGGTGGCCTCTTCACTGTCACCAGTGCCCAGTAGGGTGGTATTCAGTAAATGCCAGGCCCAGGGTCCGAGGACGTGTGGGTGCAATACTCTTAGAGTCCACCAGGCGGAGCCACGAGCCCATCTCAAGACTAATCAATTCTCCAGCTTCCAGTTTCAAGAGCTCGCCTCGCAGACCTGGTCTGCTGTGGGTCTCCTGTGGCTGGGCTGGAAGAAGTGCTCCTGGGGCGACTCCAGGACCAGAGGAGGAGTGGAGCTACACAGCGTGCGGGGGGGGGGGGGGGGCAGGACCTCCACACACTCCTGCTCATTCCAGCTGATGAGCCACAGGCCACCCAGCAGAGGCACAGCAGTGGGGCAGGGCTGTCCCTGCCAGAGCCTGTCTCCAGCTCCCTGGGGCCTGAGGTGGGATAGGAGGGAGGCTGTGCTGAGGCCACACTCACCTTTCCAGCCCTGAAGACATCTCTTCACTAAACTCTGAGCTCTCACTACTGCCTGGAAAAGGAACACAGATGAGTGAGTGCAGCGGCCTCGCAGAGAGGGGGCTGTCCCCCAGGTCACTGGGCACAGGCCCCTGAGCTCGCCATGGCTTCCAGTCTGTGGGCAACAACCTGATGTGAGTTTTTGTTGCTATTTTTGGCTCTGATCTGGGAGGGCTGAAAGAACCGTCCTGTTCCACTGTTCCGCAGGCGGGGCTTCCGCCGCCTTCCCACTGCCTGCCCTCAGGCCTCCCTACTGGTTCAGGGGACGCAGGGCTGGCCCACCCTTACCTCACAGAGGCCATATGAGCACTTCTACCTGCAAGGTCAGGGCTGAACTAGATGCTAGTCAGTGTGGCTGACTCACATTGGCCTGAAGTCTTGAGGGAGTGCCCCTGCCGACCCCTGGCCATGGAGAGAGAGACAAGGTCTGGACTGTGCCCCTGTACCATGCTTGTCCTCCCTGTGGGCCTGGACCTGGGTCTGACAGGGACACCCTGCTTCTGTACAGACCACGGGAGCCTCTCCAAGGAGAGATTTTTTTCCTGTCACTCAAGCATCCACACATCATGCTCTGTACTTTCTCAGACTTCAGATGCTCTGAGGGTCGAGCTCTTTGCCTGAAAGAGCACCTAGCCAAGCAGCTGGAAGGAGCAAGGAAGAGTCCTTGGCTCTCATGTGGAGGGTGGAAAGATGGACAAGCCTGCTCCAAGCAGGGCACGTGCACACGTGGCCACTTACTCAGGGACTTTCAGCCCCAAACAAAAAAACATTTTGAGTTCCCTGACTTGAGGAGCCAGAACCAAACAACCTCGTGATCTCCCCCTGGACGCTGGACAGCACAGCACCTCACTCATCTTCTGCCTCAGGAAGAGCAGGCCTGTGCTCAGGCACCGCTCCGACAGTTTCCTGGATGTCAAACAGCTGTTCTGGGCCCAGCTGAATACTCTTGGGCCTGCATTTGCCAGAGTGTGCTCCTCGGAACCCCTCTCTTGCCACACACTTCAAGGAAAAGGGGTCCATGAGTGGAGTCTGGGAACCCATAGGCTCTGAGGGGTCCCTGTGAGGGGTCACAATGCTGATGAGCATAGTAAGGTCCCTGGAAGAGCCTGCTCGCCTTGTTTAACTGGTCTTTCCTGGCACATGGCCAGAAACCTTCTTCCAAGGCACACCTGTGAGCAGGGATGCACTGTCCTGAGCTCTCCTCCATCCCTGCCCGTTTCCAAACAGGACGACCTCCTCCAATGACAAGAGGCAGACACAGCTTGCTTATCACAGACTTCTGGGGATGGGAAGCAGCTGACCCCTGGACTGACACGGCCGCAACCTGAGACTGCCCTAATTCCCGAGTTTGCGGGATGCCAAGAGTCCTGCCTGGGTTTCCTGTTGCCTCCCCTTGCTCCTGGCCCACTGTCCTATAGTCTTTGCCAGATCAACTCTCTGTCCCACCAGACCTGAGAGAACTCCCTGATAAGGGAAGCAGACAGACACACAGATACACTGGCCACAGAAGCACAGGCAAGCACAGGCACACTGAAAGGCAAGGGCCATTGGAGAGGGCACTGGTCTGCTGGCAGTAATGACAAGGGGCGTCCACCTTGCCTTCAGCTAACCTGGGCACCAGGAGGATGGCTCTGTGACTAGAGCTCAAGGCTGGCCTCAGCCCTACTTCTGTGTCCCCTGCCCCGACACAGAATCAGCAGTACGATTTCTGTCCCCTCCATTGATATGAGCACCATCTCTGGCTGATGCTCAGTGGTGCAATCTCATCCCTGAAGACCACATTTTTGTCCTCCTTCATTTGGTTTCTCAGCATAAAGAGAAGTACCCAACTGACTACCCAGTGGCCCATCCAGCTGCCACCCCAGGCAGCTTGCTTTGCTTTGCCCTGCAGTGTCCCGACTGTAGCTCTGCCTGGGACACAAGTGCTACGGCAGCAGCAGCCAGGCTTTGGGCGTTGACAAGGACTCAAGCGTGTGCTCAGCTGCTTCTTCCACCTGCCCACCACACTCAGGGCTACTAACAGCAGGGGGACATTGGGGCTCTTCCTGAAGCCCTGGAGGCTAGGAAGTGGAGGCTTCCTGGCTCCAGGGGATTTCTGCAGGGAGCCACCTCTGGAAGGGTGAGGGGCATTGGGTTCCCTGGAGCAAGGTGCTACTGGGCGTGGCACAGTGACAGAGACAGACACAGAGCACACGCCGGGCCTGTGGCCCCCTGCCTGTGGTGTGCAGGCTGGAGCGCTTACCTAGGGAGAGTCCATTGGTGACAGCGGAGGAGGTGAGGGTGAGGCCCTTGCGGGGGCTGCGGGACTCTAGGACACTGTCGTCCAGAAGGTGCCTGGCTTTCTCCGATGGAAATGTCGCACTTTTACTCTCAACTACACTCAACTGACACATCATACTGGAAATGGAAAGGAAGAAAGAAGGCAAAGCTCCTTATCTGCAGGGTAATGGTGGCTGCACCTGCTCTGGGGGCGGGAGTCCAGAGTGCAGCGGCAGGAATAGGCTCTGCCCAGAGCTGCGGACAGTACGGCCCTCTCATGGCATGAACTTGGGCAAGTCACATCCTTTTCCAGAGCCTCAGTTTCTCCATCTATCTACGGCGACTAACACTGCTTGCCCTGCCTGTCTCTCAGGATGAAGATGAGGCTTGTGAGCGATGAGGCTGCGCGAGGGAGGCGCAGTGGGCGTGGCCAGCATGGCTGATCTGGAGTCACCAGCACCTGGCCCGGTCCTGGCTCCAACACTTCCTCACCATTGCAAGGGACATCACCTTGTGACCCTCACTGGACTTATTCTTACAGCATGCATAATAATAGCAGAGGCCTGCATGGCTCTCAGTGACCTCGGCCTCACAGGTGTGTGGCAGAGCATCTATGGAGGGGAAGGAAACGCCAGGTACCCAGAGAGCGACCCTCTCCTCCCTCAGCCCCGGAGCTCCTCCAGGCTGGGCTGGGACCGAGCCTTAGTGGTAGAAGGAAGGAATGTAGGGAGGACAGAAGGTGGGCGGGTGGGAAGGAGGAGACGGGAAGAAAGCAGGCAGGAGAGAGGGAGGGAGGGAAGGATGGACCCATCTGACCAGGAGTCTGTGCCCAATGCCCAGGGGACACAGGCATGACTGTTCGCAGTCATGCTGAGGACCTACACGTCCCCCAGCTGTCGGCCTCATTGGACAGTGAAGAAGATGCTATGAGGACAGAAAACTGCTCTGAGGACAGTCGCTGGTGTCGGCCTAAGTGAGTCGATGACTTCGGGCATGTTCTCTGGAATCCCACCATTGCTCCTCTGTCCTTTCTCCATTAGCCCAGAGTCTGGGACCCCTGTGAATGGCACAGACTGTGCCACCAGGGGCTCTTTCTGAACCCACACCAACCTCAGGAGAGTTGGCTGGCCACAGACCCCAAACCCCCAGGATGAGGTGGGGAGAGGCCCATCGGGCAGGGCTCTCCCAGCATTTCTGCAGCCATGCCTGCCAATGCAGGCCAGTCTGAAGGCCGGGGAAGGGCTATGCAGTCACCCACTTGTTGCCCAGGCTGTGGCTCTTCCTGTGTCTGGGGACTGGTGGCGTGGGCAGGCTGCCGGCCACAGACGCATCAGGACAGGTGGGCCTCCGTCGGAACCTCGCCGAACTGGAGCCTGCAGAGGGGCCTGTGAACAGAGCAGAGGGAGGGCAATGGGAGTGGGTGGGGTGGTGGCTCAGGGATGGGAAACCCAGGTTTGGGGTGAGGCCCTGGCCTGGCTGTCCACGTGCACTTGGGCCTTATAGCTCCTACTGGTCAGATGCTGACTTTTCCCTCCCAATGTCATTGACTCCCAAGGCTGATAACCCACTGCCAGGATGGCCTGGGTCCCCCTGGGCACAGGGCCCACTGGATATCTGATGTCTCAATTCCTGCTTCCAGGTGGCATCTGACAGACCAATCCATAAAAATGGAACTAGGGTAGCATGACCCTAAAGCAAAGGTTCTTGGCCTTGACTTTGCAGAGCCAGAGGGGTCTAGGGAAGGCCTGTTAGTTGCGGGGACTGAAACTACATCTAAGCTTCTGTGCATTTTATTGGCAAGGGGATCCAGCTGGTAGGATGGATCTTTAAGGCTTTTGTTCTTAACCAGGGGATGTGTCAGAACCACCTGGAGAGTGTGGGCTGTCCCTGAGGGCCTTGTGTTCTGCATAAGCTCTGCAGTTGACCCTGAGGCACCCCTGGGGAAGACCCTCTGCTTTAAACCCAGGCAGGCTCTGTGTGGGGGGAAACAACTCGTGCAATTACTCCAAAGAAGAAGAAGAATGAAAACCATCCTGCTGTGTTTTGCTTTTGCAGTATTGCTGGAGAAGAATCCAGAGGGTGGAACTGCCTTGTTTATCAGCAGCCGTGTGAGGCTTACGGTCCCACTGCCTGAGTCACTCAGCTCCCACCCTGGTGCACAAAAGTGGTTTCTAAAGGTCAGGCTGCACTGCTGCTCCTCCCTCTGAGGTTTAAGTGGAAGCTTAGCGGCCCTGGAATGGAGCAGAAATGATAACGATGCTAACTGATTTGGCGCTGCAACCTGGTGCAGTGCTGGGTGCCAGTCTGTCATGCTGCAGGTGGGCACACTGAGCAGACCAGAAGGTGGGGCTTCCAGAGCTGCCACCTGCTGGAGGCAGGACTGAACCCAGGCATGAGGCTCACTGGACAGAACACAGGGAGAGACTGTATGAAGGATCTGGGGAGCAGGTGACACTTCTCCAGGAAATTTGGAATGGGTAAGCCCAGTCACTGCACTTAGGAAGGAAGGGGGAGGGCCTGGTGCCCACTGTGCACTAATGAGCTGGCATTGTCCATGTCCTGGCTCGCGGACTCGCTGACTTCTCTGAAGTAGGTTCTTTTGTCATCGCCACTTTAGAGGGAAGATCAGAGGCACACCAGGGCCCCAGGCTGGAGGGTGCTGCAGCCTCCGCTGGTTGCCTAAGGCCTGCCCACTCTTGCCTGGCTCCTTCTCACTGGGTCCTGCTGTGCACAGGGCCCCACTGACTGGGCAGCCCCATTGGCTGTCTGATGTACCAATTCCTGCTTCAGGTGGCATCTTGAGAACAGAATCTGATGGACCACAGAATCTGTGTAACAACAGAACCACAATAACCTCTGCATGTAGTTCCTGCTTGCTGGCTGGCTTCCCACTTTGAGTTCTCCAGAACTCTGGACCTGCTTCCGTCTCTTCTACTCAACTCTCTACCCTCCGTCCAGGACTAGGCCCGGATGTGCCCCCTCCCCTTTCTGCTCTGGAGTATTGGGAGGCATGCCTGGCCTCAGATACCCCTCAACCAGCTGGGGAGGGTGGGCGGGGGCCCCAGTGGAAGAGCCCGTAGCCTCCTGGGCCAGTGTCAGAGCTGATCTGCTCTCCCAGCATTGGGTTGCGGCCACTCCCCCGCCCCCTGCATTGTTGACCAATAGCCTGAGTCTGACATGGAACCAGAAGAATTTCCATTCAGCTGGGACCCAGATGGGGGGGTGCTTTCTGCCAGTAAGTGACACCCTCTGCTACTGAAAGGCCTCACGTTCCTGCCCGACCAAGCCTGGGGTGGCCCCCACGTGACAGTGCCAGGGTCACTTGTTTTCTGGTGCTGTTGTAGAGGTGGGCAGCTGGCAAGTTTGCTTGCCCCGTCCTCGGGCAGGGGAAGGGGCGGGATGGGGGTGATGATAATGAGCTGGGGTTCTGCACTTCATAGCAGAGTGCAGTCCCTACTGCCCAGCCTGATATGGCACGGATGGCTGGAAAAACTGACCATGTGGCTTGACTATCTCAGAGGATTGCTCTATTTTTCCTCAGCATAATTTTTCCATGAATAATCTTTAAATCTCTTTAAGTGGCTGTTTCTTTAGCAGTTTTATTGGAACATATGAGAACTGACAGTCTCTGTGGGGAACGAGATATTATGTGTTGAAGAAAAAGATCTGGTTTTCATTACATTTCTCTCAAGAAACCAAAACACTGTCCAAAAGACCACTCATTGATTAGAAGAGAAAAAAACCACAGGGCCTTCTAATAATGGCCTTGGAGTGGTTGGGGTAAAGGACAATGAACACTGATGACAAAGGACTTGGGATCCGGAGGTGGCCAGGCCTGGACTCCCACCTGTATCTGCACTTCAGGCTGAGCAAGGGTCTTGGGCAAGTCACCTCACCCCTTTGAGCCCTCAGGCTACATCTACAAAACAGGAATGGTGATCCTGTGCCCGCAGCCTCCCCGGGAGGGGTCAACCACACAGTAACCTGCCTTCTGCTCCCATAGATGTTTACTGCTCCCTGACCTAGGGGCTGCCTCTGGGCCAACCACCAGAGCTACAAAATGGATTAGAAAGATGATGTTCTGCTTTTATGGGATTGGGAGTCAAGTGTGGGAGAGGTAACTGAACCCAGGAGAGACTCCTGCTTTGACAGGAGAATGAGAATAATCAGTGCAGCAGGAGCATCATCTGTACCAGGAGTGAAACACCACCACCGTGATGGTAACGGTGCTAAATGCTAACATTCACTGAGCACTCCTGAGGTTCCCGAACCCAAGATAAATGCTTGGTTCACAGCATCTATTTATTGCAACAACACTGTCATGCAGGTACTATTGTTATCTCAATTTGACAATGTGGAATCTGAGGGTCAGAGGGTTCAATAACCTGCCCAGTTGAGCAGCTGGCAAGTGGGAGAGCTCTGGCTGCTGCATTTGAGAACCCAGAGGGAGGACCAGAGAATCCTGGAAAATCTAACATCCCAGCTGTTGCAAGAAGAGCTCCAGCGTGAGCAGCGACGGAAGCAGAAGGAGCTGCGTGTGCAGACTCAGGTGACGGCAGGCTCCAAGGAGCCTGGAGATTCCCCAGGGGAAGGTGCTCTGGCGCCCTCAGACTCCCACCCTAGGAAGCCCCTGCTGACTGGAGAGCAACTGGATGTGGCCAACTTGAGGCTGCAGGTGGGGTGGAGAGGTGTGGCTGAGAGGTATCCAGGAGGCGGCCAGGTAGAGATGTAGAGGGAGGGAACCCGGAGTTACCCTCCTGGAGTGGTGCCCTGCACTCAGGGGGAGGTTTGAGGGATAGTGAGCAGGCCGTGTGGGGCTGGTGTCTGGAGGCCACTGGCTGGCCTCACATGGCTGCTGAGGAGGGCCTGCTCTGGGCTGGGGAACCTCTTTCCCACGGATTTCAGGCTGCCTCCGAGTGCTGCCCTGGGCCAGCGCTGTCCTATTCCAGTCTGCTTGAGGGGCGCCTTCCAAGTCTTGCACATCGGGAATTAATAGGAGGCAGCTGTGACAGAGAGGAAACTACTTAACTTGGAGTCACAAGGCTTGGGTTCCAGTCCCGCCTGAGTGACCCATCTGAATGGGAGGCTCTTCCAAAGTGTGTCTTTCCTCACTGGAGGAGGAACGACCATGTGCTACTGGGAGCTCCTGCCAGCACGGTCCCGGCTTCTCGTGTGCAGGGCGGACTTCTGCCCAAGTGAAGGCTCAGTGTCCTCTGTTTCCTGCTTGCCTGAGTCAATAGTCCTGTTCCCAGACTGAGGACTTGGGCCCTTCTGGGTCTGCCGGAGCCCCGTGGCTCTTAGGGATGCTGGACCTCTTACACAGAAAGTCTCTGAGTGGGTGGGCTGGGGTTGTGGCTCAGTGGTAGAGCCCTCGCCTAGCACATGCAAGGCCCTGGGTTTGATCCTCAGCACCACATAAAAATAAATAAAATACAGGTATTGTGCCCATCTATAACTAAAAAATAAATATTAACCAAAAAGAAAAAAAGAAAGCCTCTGAGTGGGTTTCATGGAGAGGTCTGGGAACTGATCACACACATTTACTTCCACATACATTTTGTGTTTCTCAAACATGCAGCTCTCACAGGTCCTTGCTGCAAGCCAAGATCAAGCTTATACACCACACAGAAGGCCACTTCATTTCCTCTTGAAAACAGCATCCAATCACCCCTCGACTGGGCTTAGGTTGTGGCCTGCTCTCTGCACAGACAGAAGGTGCAGACTCCCAGGCCACAGGGAGCCAGGGGAGCCTGGTACCTGTGTGCCCCTAGCAGGACAGTGAGACTGGGCAAAGTGGGCTTGAGTCTTGGCCCCTCTGTTGTTTTTTTTTTGGTTTTTTTTTTTTGGTGCTGGGGATTGAACTCAGGGGCACTCGACCACTGAGCCACATCTCCAGCCCTATTTTGGATTTTATTTAGAGGCAGGGTCGCACTGAATTGCTTAGCACCTCATGGTTGCTGAGGCTGGCTTTGAACTCACGATTCTCCTGCCTCAGTCTCCCTAGCCGCTGGGATTATAGGCATGTGCCACTGCGCCTGGCTTGGTCCTTCTTCTTGACGTTGACATGACCAACTCCCAGCCCGTGAGCTCCTTGTGTGGAAGCCCTCTGCCATTCAGAAGACAGAAAAGGTTTCCAGAGGGAGGAGCCTCTGGAGGGAGGCAGGCCCTACCCCATCCCTGGGCTGCTCTCTTCCTCATCAAGCAGAACTTGGGGTTGCCAACAGACCACTTGGAACCCAAAATGTCTCCTCCTGGTGAAAGACCTAGGGGGCTCCCAGTGCCTTATCAGGCCTGAGGATGCCAATATGGCCACAGCCAGAGGACAGCAGTGGCCACAGGAGGGCTAGCTGTGTGCTCAGGTCAGTCTGGGAGGGTAGGCCTCCCGTGCACCAGGGGGCCCTGTGAGGAGAGTTGGCATGACATCGAGGGCAAGTAAGAAGTGATGGTGGGGATCTACTCGGAGGGGACACAGAAGTGGCTGCAGGGGTCCCTTGAAAGGGGATATGCATGTCTCTTGGTCAGGGAAGGTAAAGTCTCTAGAACACTGTGCCAGTTCCCAGGAGAGGGACAGGTGAACTGACCACTACCTGGAAGTCACAGCGCCCTACAGCAACAGCATCCACTGCTCTGACTGTGTCCCATCCTAGGCTATGGTCAGCAAGTAGAGGAACACAGGGAGAGGAAGCCACACTGCTGCTCTCTTGCCACAAGCACCCAGGCCTGAAGAACCCCAGTCAGGGCAGGGAAAAGAGATTTAGTGCCAGTCAGGTATAGAGTTCTGATTCTAGTGTCTGAGGACCAGTGGAGACAGTGGCTGGCTCCAAGTGCCTATAGGAGATGCAGGGATGTGCCAGGCGGTTTCCTGGGCAGGTGCTTTTTTTTTGTACTGCACAGGTGCACCAGGCAACAGGGACAGAGCCCTGAGTGCTCCGGGGCCCTCACTCACACCCTGCTTTTCCCATGTTAGATACAAGTGACACATCTATCCAGGCTCCTAGGCTCAGCAATCGGCTCTGCCACTTCTTTGACATGTGAGGCTGGGTGAGCCCCTGGCATCCTCACCTACAGAATGGCCCACATCACAGGGAGGTGTCAGGGGCACTGAGTGAGCACATGGCAGAGATTGGGAGGACAGGGATGGGGCAGCAGCTCCGTTTTCCTCCTGTGAATTAGCTGGGGTGCTGTCCACATAGTCCATTACTGCTGCCTGAGTGGTAGGGTCTCCCTCCGCTCTCCTTAGGCCTGAGCAGGCCTTGTGGCTGCTCTGACTCACAGAGTGAGGCTGGGTCATGAAGACCCTGCCATGCAAGCTTCCTTCATGCCCTCCTAGGACATTCATTCTGGGGACAGCCAGCTGGCCCCAGCCTTGGAGTCTGATGACTTAGAGGCTGCCATACTGTGAGGAAGCCCAGCTGCTATGGAGTGGCCCTAAGTATGTGTTCTGCCACTGCTGCAGCCCCAGCCCAGCAAGCCCCAGGCATCTGAGTCATGATATCTCCAGATGTCTTCAACCCCAGTCTGACCTTCTGAACCATGGATGTGTATTTGTCATAAAATGTTTGTTTTGTGACCCTGGCTTCTGGGGGACATGGCTGATAAGTACCTGAGTAGGAGCTGGGTGAGGGCCATGGGCCCCTGTGCAGTGCTGGCAGGTCTTCATTGGAGCCTACCTGGGAGGGCTGAGAGCACTCCCGTGAGGCAGAGTGTGCAAGTGCCATGCGTGGGCTTCCCAGCACCTCCTCAGAGATTCCCCTAGTGACCCTGTGGTGAGAGACTGTGGTGTGAAGCATTCCTGTTCCCAGGAAAACCAAGGCTCAGAGAGATTAAGCCAACTGCCAGGGGTCCTACAGTCCCCAGGTGCTTGAGTTAAGCTCTGAACCTCGGTCTGGCTGGCCCTAGTACAGGGCTTAGTACCAGATGATAAAACCAGGAGACAGAAAGATGCATCAGAGAGCGGTCCTGAAGTGCAGGTGCAGACTGTGGAGGCCAAGGCCAAGGCCAAGGCCAAGGCTACCCTGGACTCTAGTCCGAGGACAAGTGTCCTTTGGGAAAGCCATGCAGAGGTGGGGCCAATCTGGAAATGTCCTAATCAGTTCCAAAACCATGAAATGTGTCTTGCCCTCTCTTAGGGTGAGTGTTCTGCGTGAGTTTTTCTCTCCAGGAAAGTAGTAGTTCATTTATGTAAGCTAAACATTACATGAGGGGGAGCAGGGGTTTGAAGATGTGGCATTCCTGGCCTTTTTTCCTCCACAGACCTGGAAACCAAGGTTTCTTCATCTCCTTTCTCACAGCCTATTTGTTGGAAGTGCATGGCCATTCCCCAGGGGTGGAAAGTGGGGGACAGCCCTCTCTGGGGTCTAGGGGCCATCCAAGGAGCCAAAGGAAGACTGCAGCTTAGAGACCACTTTTGATTATAATTAAGCTCCTGGAGAGGCAGTGACCGTGGCTCCTATCAATGCCTGGGTCAAGGCCTCCCAGGCCCCGAGGCAGAGGAGCTGGCTAGAGAAGGATTAGAGCATGCCCCATCCCACTGCTGGCCATCTTGGCCTGCTCACACTGGCCTTCTTTTGATTATGAACCTGCCAGTTCTTGCCCTTGATTTTGCTGCCTATCTTCCCCACCACTTGTGAGTGCTAGGGGTCAGGGTCTTGCCTTGCTCTTGCTGGGCAATTGGCCCATAGCATGTCTGAATGAATGCACGAGAACATCTGGGGGCCTTTCCTTGGCAGGTGTGGGGATGTCTGACTGCTGGAAAGAGCCCCAATGGAGCCTAACCCCCCTCCTGAGTAACGAAGGGAGGCTACGTTCCTCCCATTCCTGGGACTGCATGAGGCACATTCCAGTTCCTGAGTCTGGTCGGGCTCCTGCCACGCGGCTCAGTCTAACTGCCAGACCCAGAGAGGCCTCCCTGGAGCTGCCTTTCTGGTCCTTGCCTCTGGGGGACCCCTATCTGCCCCTGGCTATAGCAGCACCCCCCTCTCTGTCCTTTGAGGTGGCGAGGGGAGAGTTTGGGCCACTGAGCGTTCTTCAGCCTTCAGATACTCCCCAGCCCTCTGGTGATCAATGCAAACCTTCACATCCTGCTTCCAGGGCTGAAGCCAGGGATTTGGAAGACGGGTGGAAAACACTCCTGTGTGCCGGCTCCCTGCACTGAGTAGAAACTTGCCAGCATCAGCACTTCCCTGGAAGGCTATGCAAAATCAGTGGTCAGCCCATGCTGGAGCTGCCACCAAGACTGGGTGCCAGGAGCTCCAGGGCTGGGCTGAGGGGTAAGGCAGGTGACTAAGGCATTTACCCAGGGCCCCTCTGTGCTGGGCTGGTGGAGTTCCATACTGGGCCCTCCATCAGGGGGCTTTTAGTCTGGTGAGGAAAGTAGACATGGGACAAAGGAGCCCAGGGATGACTGGAGGGACATATAGTGCAGGAGAGGTAGAGTGCTGGCAGGAGGGTGCAGCATGGGGCTGGGGCCAGTCATAAGGATTCTAGGCTTTGCAGGTCACAGGGGCTCTGTCCACCCACTCATCTCTGCCATTGAAAGCAGACAGGCAATCTGTCTGGGGGTGGGTGTGGCTGTGCATCCTCCTATGCAAAAATCAGGGTGGGCCAGTTTTGGCCCACAGCTTGCTGGCCCTTGTGAGATGGCACCTGACCTGGTGGGGGTGGAAGCTGGGGAGGCCTCCCTGAGGCAGTGCCAATTAGCTAAAAGCTGAAGGCTGATTCAGTGACAGGCAGAATCTTGGTGTTGACAACCACAGCACCAATGACAAAGCTGCACCTGTGGGTCTGGTGTGTCAGGCTCCGCAATGCTTCACACATATCACCTCAGAAAGTCCCCATGACAGCCCAGTGAGGGACGAGTATGTCAGTCCTACTTTACAGATGGAGTGTGGGTTACAGAGCATCTCAGAGGAAAAAGTTGTCTGGGGGAGTATTCTAGAACAGGGAGCAGGTGGAGACCAGCCCAGCCCCAAGAGCTTTCCCTTGGACACATTTGCCAGGGGCCATTTGTCATGGGAAGGCAGTGAGCTTGGAAGATGTTTTAATGGTGGGCACAAGGAAGCCCCATGAGCTCCATGAAAATCAAGCCATGGCCAACAGTGACTTGAGTACCTTGAGGTGTAGATAAGAGCATCTTCCAAGCTCTGAGGAGCAACCATATTGCCCTCTGCCAAGTTATCAGAGGACCAGGGTGCTAGGGTATGGTCCAGCTGGCAGGATGGCGTTCACAGAGGCCGGGAGACAGGGAGCTGGGAATGCAGCCCAGGGACAGGGCAGAGGCCTTGCAGGGTGGGGCTTGCAGAAGGCTGCAGTACTGCCCAGCCCCGCCACCCCATGGCTCTGACATGGGAGCGTGGAGATGGTGGTTTGAGCAGGTCCAAGGCTGGAGGGGGCATGGCAACGGCTTGCTACCCCTTCCCAAATAGGCACTGCATGTCAAACTACACTGGATGCCTTCCAAACATGGTCCTGGTCTGACATTCTAACATTCCTGGGATGATGGTTTTAGTATCCCATTTTATAGGTAAGGAATTGAAACCCAGAGGGGTGAAGTCACGTATGTAAGACTGCAGTGGTCTAAATCACAGGTTAGTGTGCTCCAGAGCTCAAACTAGGAGAAATGCTGCTAGAGATCAGCCCTGGTCACTGAAAGCTGGCTGGACTGTGACTAAAAGGTAACATGATGAAAATGACAGTGAAGCCACCAACACCAGGGGCATTGTCACAATGCGCTGACACAGGCAGAGCACTTTACGGGCCTGACTTATCAGGAATTATGACAGCTCTACAAGAGTGTGCCATCTTAGCGCCACTCTGTGGGGGAGATCACTGAAGACCAGAGAAGCCACATGTCAAGCTGGGAAAGGTGGGGCTGGGGCTTGATGCAGAGCCTGGGAGCTCATCACCAGGAACATGTGTGCACGCACATGTGCGCTCCCTAACAGGGGAATAAATCCAATGCTCCCAGGAGGATGAGCCACCTGAACATGGTGACACCCAAACCCTAGGCATCCAGGGCACCCCTGAGGGGCACATAACCCAACCCCCGGCCCACATGCCCCAAAGGTAAAGGTCTAGGTGGCCTGGAGAAGATCCTGGGTTTTTCTGTTCCTCATGCACACTTCCAACTTGGGGCTCTGTTTTTCCCTTTCTTGGGGCTGTTCACTCCCAGGGTCCTCCAGGGAGCCTCTGCACAGGGGTGTCCCTCAGGGGTCCAATGTGATCAGGAGCCTGGCAGGTTGGCATGGGACACCGAGTGGGGACAGTTGAGTCTGCCACACTCCAAACTCAGCTGTGCCCTTTGGCTCCACAGGCAAAGGCCAACCCAGCAGCCACCTTTAGTCCATGAGGGCTCTGATCCTACCTGAGGTGGCTACGATACCTGCAAGATCTTCCTTGGATGAAACTAGTCTTGGAGAGCTGCTTCCTGGTTCAATTCTGAGTGACAGTCTGAAACAAAGATTTTCACAAAATCAGACGGGCCCCTGGCTTATCCGAGGGAGAACAAAGCAAGTGTGCATTTGGGGTTGGGATATGGGATGTCATTGAAGGGCCAAGTAGCCACAGGACCCAGGAACACTGTGAGATCTGCTCCCAATCACAGCTGCATACATTTTATAAATGAGGACACTGGGGGCAGTGGGACTAAGTAGCTTCCTTTCCCAAATTCACAGGGCCAGCAGTGCAGAGCAGAGCAGGGATGCTCTGACACACATGAAGGCCCTGTGGGTCACAACTGGCAACCTGGGGTAGCTCTTTCTGGAGTGGATGGAGACAGCCCCCAGTGAGGTGAAGGAAACCCTGAGCCCACTACCAAACTGACTGCAGGCTTTCTGTCTCCAGAGAGCTGGCGGCTCCAGCTCCCCCAGGCTACAGAGTCGGGGAGATCTGGGACCCCTGGGCCTCCCAGCCAGATGGAGGGGAACCAGCCCCTCTCTGCACACAGGAGGAGGGCCAGGTGCCCCCTGCTACAGCAGAGGCATGGAACACCCAGACAGCCTCCTGAATGGAAGCAAGAAGAAAAGAAATGGCCTGGCAGCCTGCAGACCTCCTCTCACAAAGAAGGAAAGAAAAAGGGAGACAGCGCTGCCCGGGCCTGACCCAGCACCCCAGGAAATCCCCTCAGGCGTTCTCAATGGGGGGAAGACTTACTAAAAAGATGGCTGAACACAACAAAATCTGAAAAATGAGAGGATGAAACAAAGGAACAAGATGGAACAGGGGACTGTGGACTGAGAGGACTAAATGGAAGATTGGAATGAGAACGTGCTGGCCCAACACCTCAGTGGAAACAGATCACCTGGGGACACTGAGCACTGGGGAGGAGCTCGCAGCCCTTAGAGAGGAGCTCAGGACGAGGAGGGCAGAGAACACGCAACACATGGCACCCTGAACGACAGAAGCCAGGAAATGGCATGGATGAGAAAGTCCATCAGAGCAGAGAGACCCTGCGTGGCTCTGAGGCTGTACCCTATAGGGCTTTGGAACTTCACAGAGCTCTTCACCCCCAGGCAGACAAAACAACAGACTTACTTGAGACTTCTCTACAGCACCACCCAAAGCCAGGAGGCAATGCACAGGGTCTACAGGCCTGGGGGAGAGCAGAGCCCCAGCCCATGCAGACATTTCCATGGAGAACTCAGGGAGTGCAGGACCCATGAGGGAGGGGAGGGGCCTGCTTCCTGATGAAATTCAGCTATTAAGGGAGCGTTTTGAAAATAAAGACTCCAGGAACTGAGATGCTGTGGGGGAACAACAGGTGGTAAGAACTGAATCCATTTAAAAACATGAAACAGTAGGAATTGTGATTCCTGAACATGATGTTTATGTTATAAACTTGAACTACGCTGTCCAATAATAACACAACTAACAAAAATCTGGAAGGTGGTGGAGGTGAAGGAGGGGGTAGTGCTCATAGTTTCAGCTTTCAAAACTGGAGCCAACTGATACCGGACACAGTAGAAACCTAGATACAAGGAAACTCACTGACTCAGGCCTCTTCATGTTTTTCCTGATCCCTCTTAAGAATCTTAGGAGGCTCATTTGGAAAATAATATCCCTTGTAAAAGAAATATTATTTAGAGAGCAGAGATTCTTGCCTTTTATTTCAGTTCCTTTTTCTTGTTGAATTAAACTAAAATACTTGAATTAAAAAATAGCAAGGGTGGTATGATCCTATTTTAATAAATTCCATCATTGCATCCATCCATTGGTCCATGCTTCATGTACATGTAAATTTTCCACACATAGAAAAATGTCCAAAATGATGTTTACTTAATTCTAATGGGTGTGCTTTCTAGGTGGCAGGAATTTGGGTAATAAAAAAAAAAAAAAGGCCAAAGCACTAACTGGGCCTCTTGGTGCAATACCTCAAAGCAGACGGGAAGTGTGTTAGGCAAGTAGGTCACCAATGTCCTATGTGAGGGTGAGAAGCCAGTCTCCAGGTGCGAGCTGGCCATGGAGAGGATGCCCCCAGCAGAACCACAGGCCCTGAGTCCTCTTGCTACTCAGAGCCAGGACCTCCCTGGGAAAGGAGCCCCAGTGGTGGCTGATTGGGGCCAAAATGTAGCCTTCCCTGCTGGGCTTGCCCATTTTGGCCACAACAAAGGGGTGACCGTCCTTTAGCATCAAGTGCTGAGGGTGCTCTTTGACCTTCAGAAAAGAAGGCGTAATCGCTATCAATCTTCAGCCTTTCCAGGGATTGTGTCATGGTCACAAATATTTATAGACCATTTTTCTCTTTAAAGAATATCACTGTTAATGAAAAACTACTGTCTCTTTAAATCGAAAGTCTGGCGCATGAATGGAAAATATTACCCAGAACCTAAGCAGGAATAGTCTCGGCTGCAGGGCACTCTTTTCAGGAACAGCAAATGCTTTGTGAATAAAACAACTTGTGTGATGAACTGCAGTTTTAATGGTAATCTCTGGCTTCATCTGTTCTTGTTGCTATTATGTAATAGATTACAATTTCACATTATTTTTAATTTTGACAAATTATTTTATAATAACAACTAATATATTACGTCTAGGATCTTAGAACCACAGAGGGAACTCTGAAAGAAGACAGATCTCCAGGCCCCACCTGAGACATCTGGATGGTTAGAAAGTGTTTAGGGCAGCTCTGATTTATAGCCAGGACAGCAAGCTGCTATGGCAGAGCTGGCCAGTGGGGCGCTGCTGACCAGCCGTTCCCAGATCCCAGTGTGGGACTCAGTGGCCACAGTTCTCCACAGTTTTCAGTGGCTTAGATGAATACCAAGTAATAAGGAAGACCAAATTTGTAGACATAAAACTGGAAGAGAGAGAGAGAGAGAGAAAATCCATACTAGATAACAAGATTCAAAGGAATCATGGTATACTGGGAGCAACCAGTAGGATAAGATTTAAAAGAAAACCTGTAAAGTTGACATTTAGGTAGCAAATGATCAACTGCAGGATGGCTGAGACTGGCCTTGATATCAGGTTACATGAAAAGGAACTGAGACTCACAGGTGACCTGAAACTCAAAATGAGCCAAGAGGATGCCCAACCAATATGGCAGGGTTGATACCCAAAGTCAGCCTTCTCCCTCCAAAGACAGAAACGCTGGATATACTCCCAGGTGTCTCCAGTGAAGAAAGAACTGAGGACCAGAGCAGGGTGAGCCATGACAAGCCACAGGGTCTGCAGTGGTCTCTCTGACAAGTGGGTCTATCCACAGGGGCTGCCAAGAGATGGTGCTGGGGGTTCACTCGCTTGCCCCATGGGCCACGTGGGAAAACCACACTCAGAAGGGAAAACAATAGCTCGGACCTTGGGGCCTGAGGCACCAGGGCTGTGCAGACAGTGCTGCTGTTTACCTGGTTTCTGGAGGGCATACAGTGCTGTGGGTGCTGGGGCATGGGGGCCCTGTTACTTACTGGTCCCAACAAGGGCTAGATCACCCCCAGGGACTTGAGTGCTAGGGACAACACAGCTGGTAGGCCTGACTCAGGGGTGGGTGGGGACTCACTTATAGTTGTCATCTTCCACGAACTTCTGGAGCTCTTCAATGTAGCGCACTGACTTCAGGTACTTCTGCACATGGGGCAGGGTTGTGAGGTGATCTGCAAAAGGCAGACAAAACCCAGAGGCCTCAGTCTCTCCCACCTCCAGTCCCAAAGGAAAAGCACAGGAAGTACAAATTAGATGCTCCTTGGATACTGAGGTCCATTCCCTCTGCCAGCAGTGCTGACCTGCCTCGGGGTCAGACCCTGTGCTGGGCACAAAGGGTGGTCAGACCTAGGTTAGGCCCTTGAGGAGCGACCCCTAAATGTGTGGGCCACAGACACCACACTCCAAGGCCACCACAGTTCTCTGGCCAGGAAGGAGAATCTGAGGCCTCCACTTAGAGCTCAGAGTTGGGAAGAGAAGGTGTGCTGACCTCTAGAACAGACTAGAAACAGCTGTCTGTGCCCTAAACATATGTCCACTGGAGGAATCAGGCAAACCTCCCATGCCTGCCCACTGTCTGTGTGGCAGGAATGCAGGAACCACTGATTTGGGTGCACAAGCCCAACCCAGACCATGGCCCATGGCTTTAGCTGATGCATGCTGGGAAGAAAGGCAGGAGCCCTGTGCCTGAGCACCAGTCTGAGCTGGACTGGGCTCCAGGTGACTCACAGGAGTCATCTATCTTAACCTTCACTCAGCCTCACATAGGAGGCATGGAGGAAGAACCTGGGCAACTGAGAAGCAACAGAGCCATGGTGGACCCAGGTTAGCAGAAGCCATGCCACACCACACTGCCTCTCCTTCTTGGGTGATTGCTGCCAGCCACTCTCTGTAGACTTCACAGTCACTGCACTCCTCCTGAGGGGGCCACGGGGTGGGACAGAAACTTTAATTGGCAGGAGTGGAGGAGGCTTTGAAGAGGATGGGTAGGGAGGACCCTCTTTTTCCTGGACGGGCATCCAGATGCTGGGGGAGCCCTTGGAGGCTTGGCCCCTTGGCTGCCAGATTCTGAAGGTCATTTTACTTCTCTGAAGTCTCCATGTTCTTGTCTGTGAAACGCGAGTAAGGACACCTGCTTTAAGAGCTGATGCAGTGGCAAGTGAGGCTAATAGTGAAAGGTGAGAGCTCTCCCTGAGCTCTGCTGAAACATGAGGGCTGTGCCCAGAGCACCGCTCACGTCATGGCCCCAGCTTCATGCATGAACAAACCTTATAGAGGAGAAAGTGACTTTTCAAGAGGTAGCTCTGAGACTTCAACTGAGTCTGTCTGACCTGAAGCCTATGTCTGTGACTGCTCTGCTCATCATGGTGAGTGGAGGCTCTGGGACAAGGGAGGCCCCTGCATTGAGAACACAGGTACCTGTCAGAGGAAGGCTGACCTGGATGGTGGCCTTTGAAGACCAAACTGATGTGGAAAGGATCTAGCACATATTTGAAGCTTGAGATATTAAAATGAAGAGCTTTGTTGGACTACCTGGTTTCTGAAGTGTTCTAGAAGAAATTTGATGTTGGACCCAAATTTCAATGATGCAAGATCTTAAAATCTCAAGAAACAAGGTTACTAACCATAGCTGCAGGAAACTTGTAAATCAGCAATTATTCGGAGAATATTGTTCATCTGATTAGATCTTTGTTCATTTTCCATGATGCTGCCTGAGGCAGGATATGCAGAATCGATGTAGATTAGATCCAGAAGATAGATTCCTAAAATTAAAGAAGACATTAACTGTGGTCGGAGTTCACTACTGATCAGAGCAAAAGAGCACAAAATAGCCCTGTTCTGCAAGAAGGTAGAAAGGATGGCTCAAGGAGACCCGTTTTGACTGCAATTCCAATCCTGACTCCTCATTTTTCATGCAGACTGTAAACTGAACATCTGAGCAACATCCAAAATGAATGCTGGCAGAGTTTAACATTTCTTGTTCATACTTTTTCCAACAATAAAGCTTTTTACTTATAATACAAATGGAAAATAACAGGACATGAAAGAGATGAATACTTTAATTTTTCACCAACCAGTAAAGTTTATTTAACAGGTCTAAACTGTCATGTTGAGCAGGATATCTGTTTGAGCTGTTATAGTTTGGATCTGGAACATTTTCCAAAGGCTCATGTATGGAAAGCTTCAGAGATTTAGGGAAGTGACTGGATCATGAGGGCTCTAACCTTAAGAATGGATTAGTCCACTGGGGGATTCATGGCTAAATGGAGACTAGGAGTGGTGGTGGAGACTAGGAGGTGGAACCTAGTTGGCAGGGGTGGGTCCTTGGAGGCATGACCTTGGGGACTGTATCTTGTCTCCCCCATTCCTTGCTCTCTCTCACTTTACCTCCCAGTCACCATGAGGTAAGTAGCTATGCTTCACTACTCCCTTCTGCCATGACACTCTGCCTCACCACAGCCCAGAAACAATGGAGCCAGCCAACCGTGGACTGAAACCTCAGAAACCAGAAGCCAAAATAATTCCTCCCTTCTTTAAGTTGTTTATCTCAGGTATTTTTTTCAAAGCAATAAAAAAAGACTAACATGTTAAATTCTCTTCATTTATTCACTTAAGTGTGTGTTTATTTGTCTCTGTCCAAATAGTATGCATGCACGCACATATACAATCATAGATTAACTAGAGAACAAAAGAAGAGATTAAAAATGGAAAAGTTCTCAGTACACAGAACTAAGACTAGACAGAGAATTCTCCTGAGAATGCTTAAAATAAGGTATGATATAAAAACATTGTCATGGGCTGGGGATGTGGCTCAAGCGGTAGCGCGCTCGCCTGGCATGCGTGCGGCCTGGGTTCGATCCTCAGCACCACATACAAACAAAGACGTTGTGTCCGCCAAAAACTAAAAAATAAATAGTAAAAACATTCTCTCTCTCTCTCCCTCTCTCTCCCTCTCTCTTTAAAAAAAAAAAAAAAACATTGTCATAACAGGCCAGTAATGAGCTGGGGGAATTCAGGTCAAGTTGCCAGTGAGAGAGAGAGAGAGAGAGAATATATATACATACATATATATATATATATATATATATATATATATATAAAATAGTGGTATAGTAACAAAATCAGCAAGCTTGGTGTTTTGGTTTCCTCCTCCTCCTCTTTCTTTTAGTTGTACATGGACACAATGCTTTTGCTTTATTTATTTTTATGTTGTGCTGAGTATCGAACCCAGTGCCTCACAAGTGCTAGGCAAGTGCTCTGCCCCTGAGCTAAATACAACTCCAGCCCCACAAGCTTGGTTTTACATAAACGAAAATATAGTTCTTTTCAGATACCAATAGACTACTTACAAAAATTTGTTTATACTAGGTTATAAAGAAAAGGAACTTTAGATAGGGTAAAGGCAAAGGAGGGGGCATGGAGGTAGGAAAGATGGTGGAATGAGTTAGACATCATTACCCTAAGTACATGTATGAAGACAGGAATGGTGTGAAAATACTTTATGTACAACCAATGACTTGAAAAATTGTGCTCTGTATGTGTAATATGAAATGAACTGCATTCTGCCATCATATATAACAAGTTAGAATAAATAAAATTTAATAAAAAACTAAAAGAAAAGTTCTGTAAGTTCTAAAAAGTAAATACCATATTATTCACATGCTTTGACCTTACTATAATACCTCTATGATTTAAATCCTAAAAAGTTCTAACCATTTGAAAACACACACACATATACATATTCATAAGTAACTCCTAGGTCAAAGAAAAAACAAAAAAAAATCTAAAATAAAAAAATCTGTTTGAAGATGATAACAGGAACACTACATATCAAAAAAGTATGGTTCTGGCCAATATGGTAATATGAGAAAATTTTATAGCCTTAGAAGTTTATTATTAAATGACTAAGTATTATTACAAACACAGAAATTAACCTCATACTTTAGAGTTTTGCATAGATGGAGAATACTGAACTAGGAATTATACCTTCATTATCTTATTTATCCTTCCAATAACCCATTTTATAGAGGGAAAAAAAGGAAACTCAGAGAGGATGTGTAACTTGCTTGAGGTCACAAGCTGGTAAATGCTGGAGATGGGAGTTGAACCCAAGCCTGCCTCCTCTGGAGTGCACGCTTCCTGCTGCCGTAGTGGACCAATGGTACTGGATACCATGACTCACTCGTCTGCTTTTAAAATAGTTACACATTGTTATGGGAAACCATTAAATCACAGAAACATATGCTAGCACTTCTCATAGGAGTCATTTCCACTTCCTTTCTTTCTGGTGGTACCATGCTTCCAATATTTACTAATTAGAAATAATTTCCCTTGAACAGAAGCTCTAAGTCTGGTAGGTTTGAACCCATGGCTTTATTCTTTCTCTTAACTTTGTTTTTCCTCTCTCCTCTTTAAAATGTAACTCAGTTACCTCCCCAAGGACTCAGCAATGGCAATCCTGAAAATCCCATTATTGCTTCAACCACAACAGAAAGCAACCCCCAGAGTTGAGCAAGGGGTGGAGGGATGTGGGCCACGAGGCAGTGTGACTGCAGACACAGCACACAGATGTCAGCCTGGCTGACTCAGAGGGGCTGGGCAAATCTCAGCCCAGAGCAGGATAAGGGTAAAGGGGGCCTTCTGCTTCTGGGGTCTACTGAAAGACCGAACTGACCCCTCCTTGTTGCATCAACTCTGGGAAGAAGGAGGAGATAACTAAGTCTCAGGGATTAAGGAGCAAGAGGGCTGGGACTTGCCCCAGGTCTGTCTGGCTGCAGGTCCAGCCCCAGCCCCTCCTTTCACCCTGAGGAGTGGGGGTTCACTACTGCCTGAGAGTAGCATGTTCATGGATCCCTGCCAGGAAGCACGCACACTCTAGCACCTGCCTTCTCCTCAGGCCACAGTGTGCTGAGGATGGGGTGGACCCCACCAAGGAGGCTCCTGGCTCCAGTGACTTGGGGAAACCTACCCCTGGTCATGCATGAACAGACCCTCCGCTAGACAGTCTTCTACAGCCACAGCGGCTACAGGAGCAGATTTTCTGTAGCTAACAAAGTTTTCAGGGAACCCTTTTCTGTGGCATAGTAGTCCATATTAGGAAATATTTATACACCCTAAGCATAGGAAATCATAAGAATAACCACCTCCAGCTGGCACTGTGCCAGGTGCTGGGCTGATTCCTCTGTTAGTGCTCGCCACAGGCCCAGCTGGAGACGTGATTGTGTCACCCATGTACTTAAGGCCTGATTCCCCACCAGCCTAAACCCTGAGATCAGGCGGTGTGTCCTGTTCTAAGGGCTCAGTCCCCGGTGTCTGGAACAGACAAGGAGGAGCTGCGTGGTAAACACCAGCTGAAGAAGGGAATGCCGGAACAAAGGCATATTTTATTCATCACAGACAATAACTGTAGGAAGCGCATGTTGTTCTGTAGCTGAAGAGACACCGAGAGTCACGTGACCATGATGACCACTGATGTTTACTGAGCACTTATTATGCCACCCCAGGTCCTAAACTAAGAGCTTTGGATAGGTTACTGATCTGTAAGAACAACACTGTTGCAGGAGGTCTCACCCCTGTGGTACAGAGGAAGGAACTGAGCTGAGAGAGGTTGCATTGCTGTCTTAGGTCACACAGTGGGGGAGTTGCACAGGCAGGATTTGCACACAAGTCTGTCCAGGCTGCTGTATTATCAGTCCTTCTTTCCCTTCAGCCAGATCTTCCAGTGCCTAGCCAGATGGCGACATAGCTGAAGCTGGGGGGACCACACTCTTCCAGGAAGGCTCATGAGGAGACTGTGGCTACCTCTCCTTGCTACACCAACCACCTCTTATTCCCTACTCCATCATGGCCATTGGAGCATATCTGTCCCAGGTCCCATTATCAGTGGCCCACCCAGACTTGGGGGGCTCTGCCAGATCTGTAGCATTGTAGGCAGTTGTGAGTGGGGGGGGGGCAGAGGCAGACTTGGAGCCTTGCTTCTGCTACCTACCAGAGTGAGGGTGGCCTCAGGTGAGGCTTTTCATCTCCTGGGACCTCAGTTTCCTTGACAATTAAAGTGGATAATAACTGAGTGAAGGGAGTCTCCTGGCCTAGGGCCTGGACCATTGAAGTTAGGCTGACCCTGACCTGGCTCCCTTGTGAGGTCTCACTGGGATCAGCAGTGGATGTTCAAGAGAGAGAAGCACCCAGCTGCATTTGCCATAATCATGGATGGTGCCCAGAAGCTAGTCACACAAGGCCACTCCGAGCTGGACCATGCTGGGAGCTTCCATCTGGAGGGGATAGCACAGCTGGACATCACAGCCCTTATTCCTATTTAGACAGTTAATGAAGCGGACAACACTGTGTTGTTGGCCCAAGAAGATGCGCAGCAACAGGACCAGCCACTGACTTTGGCTGCCGTAGGGCTGAGTGATGCCAGGGACTGGGCTGGAAGGGGAGGTGTGGACACTTCAGAGGAAGGAGCTGTAATAGTCCCAGCCACTGTCTGCTACTGGGAGGATGTGTGCTAATATCTCATGCACTTTTGCAGCAATCTTGACAAGCAGGTACCCTCATTCTCCCATTTTACAGGTTAAGAAACTGAGATTTAGGAAGAAAAGTGACTAGGCCAAGATCAAACAGCTTGAAAATATGAGTCAGCCTATCTGACTTCAAAGACTTGGGACCGAGATCAGTGCTAGGGGCTTGGGGCTGGCAGGGTCCTAGCCACAGAGCTGGAGGCATGAGGAACACTGCTGTGGCCTGCCTGTTGAGGACACTG